GGGTTGCGAGCATCATCGGTCATCGGCGCTCGCAAATGAAGAGCGCCCGCTGCACTTCATGCACATGTGCGGATCCTTCAGCATTTCGGGGGTAGAAGCGCTCATTCCAAGCGTTTTCCTTCCTCTAAGTCACGTGGCTGCGCTTGTCTGGTCCTCTTGCCAAGCCAGCAAGGGCGTGGAAGTGTTGCGAGCATCATCGGTCATCGGCGCTCGCGAATGAAGAGCGCCCGTTGCACTTCCTGCACATGTGCGAATCCTTCCGCGTTTTGGGGGTACTAGCGCTCGTTCCGAGCGATTTTCTTCCAACAGATCACGTGGCTGCGCTTGTCTGGTCCTCTTTCCAAGCCAGCAAGGGCGTGGGAGGGTTGTGAGCATCATCGATCATCGGCGCTCGCAAATGAAGAGCACCCGCTGCACTTCCTGCACGAATGCGGATCCTTCAGCATTTTGGGGGTAGAAGCGCTCATTCCAAGCGTTTTTCTTCTGCCAAGTCACGTGGCTGTGCTTGTCTGGTCCTCTTGCCAAGCCAGCAAGGGCATGGGAGGGTTGCGAGCATCATCGGTCATCGGCGCTCGCAAATGAAGAGCGCCCGCTACACTTCCTGCACGAATGCGGATCCTTCAGCATTTTGGGGGTAGAAGCGCTCATTCCAAGCATTTTTCTTCCGCCAAGTCACGTGGCTGCGCTTGTCTGGTCCTTTTGCCAAGCCAGCAAGTGCACGGAAGTGTTGCGAGCATCATCGGTCATCGGCGCTCGCGAATGAAGAGCGCCCGCTGCACTTGGTGCACATGTGAGGATCCTTCCGCGTTTTTGGAGTACTAGCACTCGTTCCGAGCGATTTTCTTCCAACAGATCACGTGGCTGCGCTTGTCTGGTCGTCTTGCCAAGCCACCAAGGGCGTGGGAGGGTTGCGAGCATTATCGGTCATCGGCGCTCGCGAATGAAGAGCGCCCGCTGCACTTCCTATACGAATGCGGATCCTTCAGCATTTTGGGGGTAGAAGCGCTCGTTCCAAGCGTTTTTCTTCCGCCAAGTCACGTGGCTGCACTTGTCTGGTCCTCTTGCCAAGCCAGCAAGGGCGTGGAAGTGTTGCGAGCATCATCTGTCATCGGCGCTCGCGAATGAAGAGCGCCCGCTGCACTTCGTGCACATGTGAGGATCCTTCCGCGTTTTTGGGCTACTAGCGCTCGTTCCGAGCGATTTTCTTCCAACAGATCACGTGGCTGCGCTTGTCTGGTCTTCTTGCCAAGCCAGCAAGGGCGTGGGAGGGTTGCGAGCTTCATCGGTCATCGGCCCTCGCAAATGAAGAGCGTCCGCTGCACTTCCTGCACGAATGCGGATCCTTCAGCATTTTGGGGGTAGAAGCGCTCGTTCCAAGCGTTTTTCTTCCGCCAAGTCACGTGGCTGCGCTTCTCTGGTCCTCTTGCCAAGCCAGCAAGGGCGTGGAAGTGTTGCGAGCATCATCGGTCATCGGCGCTCGCGAATGAAGAGCGCCCGCTGCACTTCGTGCACATGTGAGGATCCTTCCGCGTTTTGGGGGTACTAGCGCTCGTTCCGAGCGATTTTCTTCCAACAGATTGCGTGGCTGCGCTTGTCTGGTCCTCTTGCCAAGCCAGCAAGGGCGTGGGAGGGTTGCAAGCATCATCGGTCATCGGCGCTCGCAAATGAAGAGCGCCCGCTGCACTTCCTGCACGAATGCGGATCCTTCAGCATTTTTTGGGTAGAAGCGCTCGTTCCAAGCGTTTTTCTTCCGCCAAGTCACGTGGCTGCGCTTGTCTCGTCCTCTTGCCAAGCCAGCAAGGGCGTGGAAGTGTTGCGAGCATCATCGGTCATCGGCGACGCAGTACCTCCAGGCGCAGCACCCCCAGACTCAGTACCCCCAGGCTCAGCACCCCCAGGCTCCGTACCAAGAGCACACTCATCCCCGACGGACGGAGGACAGACAGACTCAGACTCAGCAACAAGACTAGCAGCAGAATGGGTACCAGTAGGAAACCCTAATTTGGGTTGTACCCCATATGGGCTACCCCACTACAGCCTACATAATAAGCAGCATATATGTTTGACAGTTAGTACCATATTTTTTATCAGTCCACTAGATTAGGCCTTCTACTTCAACAACACTAGCTTATAACCTTTCCGATCCACATACCGGTAATTTGAGAGATTTCAAAGTTCGAGCTTCGCCTTGTACCTACACACAAGTGTGCATTCTGACCGAACCGACCGACGCATTATTCTCTTTGTACAAATACAATGAATACCATATGTATTCCCATTCCTTTTAAATTATATCATTCCTCACCCGCCCACTAGATTAGTAGGCCTAATCTAGCGGCACTATCTATCATTCCTAATCATGGCATTTGAGGATACCACCACCACTGTGCAAAGAATGCTAACATTGCAATGTGTGAAATGCCATGAATCACAATAGCAGCTACATCACCACTAATGTACAGCTGGACCATGTGCTTTTCCTGCCAATACATTTCTTATTTATCTGTAGGTGTATCAATAGGATTGGTAATGGAACGAACCCACTTGGGCAACCTCAGACCAATGTCACTCCAAATGGCAGACACCCACGGCACACCACTCGCAAAGTGCACCTGCATGAAAGAAAACAATAATCAGACCTTGGATGTATCTGTCACCACACTCGCAGAAAAGCAAAATGCTTTTCCACAAAGAAAACAAGTTGTGATGTGTGCCAAGTTGTCAACTCACCGGTTGGTACCCATCTGCGTGCAGCTCATACTTGGGTGAGTACACGTGCACCCGTGTGGTAGCTCCCAAGGGCAGCGCTGACAGCACTGGCCATCTTCCTGTCAACTCATCTCATGAGTGAGGTGACAACACTCACCGGTTGGTACCCATCCGCTTGAAGCTCATACTTGGGCGAGTACACGTGCACCCGTGTGGTAGCTCCCAAGGGCAGCGCTGACAGCACTGGCCATCTTCCTGTCAACTCATCTCATGAGTGAGGTGACAACACTCACCGGTTGGTACCCATCCGCTTGAAGCTCATACTTGGGCGAGTACACGTGCACCCATGTGGTAGCTCCCAAGGGCAGCGCTGACAGCACTGGCCATCTTCCTGTCAACTCATCTCATGAGTGAGGTGACAACACTCACCGGTTGGTACCCATCCGCTTGAAGCTCATACTTGGGCGAGTACACGTGCACGCGTGTGGTTGCTCCCAAGGGCAGCGCTGACAGCACTGGCCATCTTCCTGTCAACTCATCTCATGAGTGAGGTGACAACACTCACCGGTTGGTACCCATCCGCTTGAAGCTCATACTTGGGCGAGTACACGTGCACGCGTGTGGTTGCTCCCAAGGGCAGCGCTGACAGCACTGGCCATCTTCCTGTCAACTCATCTCATGAGTGAGGTGACAACACTCACCGGTTGGTACCCATCCGCTTGAAGCTCATACTTGGGCGAGTACACGTGCACCCGTGTGGTAGCTCCCAAGGGCAGCGCTGACAGCACTGGCCATCTTCCTGTCAACTCATCTCATGAGTGAGGTGACAACACTCACCGGTTGGTACCCATCCGCTTGAAGCTCATACTTGGGCGAGTACACGTGCACGCGTGTGGTAGCTCCCAAGGGCAGCGCTGACAGCACTGGCCATCTTCCTGTCAACTCATCTCATGAGTGAGGTGACAACACTCACCGGTTGGTACTCATCCGCTTGAAGCTCATACTTGGGCGAGTACACGTGCACGCGTGTGGTTGCTCCCAAGGGCACCACTGGCAGCACCCAAGCCCAATGCTCCCTTTCCTCTTGTGTGAGATGACGCTGGAGCAGGTTGGTACTCAAGAGTAACAGACAACTCACCGGTTGGTACCCATCTGCGTGCAGCTCGTACTTGGGCGAGTACACGTGCACGCACGTGGTACCTCCCAAGGGCAGCACTGTCACATCCGTGGCCGCACCAGAGCCCGATGCTCCCTTCCCTGATGCTTCCCGATCGGCGATTGCCTGATGATGCTGGGCTGTTGCTTCATGTGAGGTGCTGCTGTTGTTGCTGGTGTTGGCGCTAGTGTTGCCACTAGTGTTGGCACGAGTGTTGGCGTGATGAGGCATGGGCAGCGGGCCAGAGCCGGATTCAGGGTGGTAGAGGGAGGTGAGGGGGAGGCGGTGGTGGGTCCAGGCGAGGATGGAGCCCCTGAGGTTGGACGCGTGCATGCTGTGGTGCGCGCGCAGCATGCGCGCGTAGTTGCCACTGCGATAGCCTATGGTGCTGGGGGGGACGTGTGGGGATGGGGACGACAGGGAGGGGAGTGGGAGAGAGGAAGGGAGCGGTGGAAGATGGTCATTGGGAGCAGGGCGGAGCAATACGAAGGGGGCATGGAGCCCCACAGGTTGGCCGCGTGCATGCTGTGGTGCGCGCGCAGCATGCGTGCATAGTTGCCACTGCGATAGCCTATGGTGCTGGGAGGGGGAGGGAGTAGGAAGAGAGGAGGGAATAGGCTTATTGAAAGAGGCCAGAGGAAGGGGGCATGGAGCCCCTCAGGTTGGCTGCGTGCATGCTGTGGTGCGAGCGCAGCATGCGCGCGTAGTTGCCACTGCGATAGCCTATGGTGCTGCGAGGGGGTGATAGGAGGGGAGAGAGAGGAGGAATGGGGATGAAGTCCCTCGAGTTGGGTTGGATGTATGCATGCTGTGGTGTGAGCGCAGCATACGCGCGTAGTTGCCACTGCGATAGCCTATGGTGCTGGGAGGGGGGGAGGGGTGGAAAGAGGTGTATTGGAAGCGGGGCAGCGGAGCGGAGTTAGTGGAGGGTGAATGGAGCTCCTCAGGTTGGCCGTGAACAGCTGTGGTAATGGAGGAGGACTGAGTGCATGAGTGCATGCTGTAAAGGAATCTGTGTGTTCCCTGCTCCGCATAGCTCCTTACCTCAAACACACCTTCCACTCTTGCCATCCCCACTTCTCCCAAACTCCTGCGCACCCATATACCCCTCTGCACCCCTCTGCATCCCACCTTCTCACCAGTAGCACACGACGTGATGATCGTTAAATCGTCCCACCTGCCGCTCAAAGTCGCTCTGCTTCAGTGTGCCGCCCGGAATCATTGATACTGCTGTCTCCTCGTCTGTGCGTGTGTCCACCACCACTACCCGCCGCCCGCCCCGCCCAATCCCTCCCCCTCCCACCACTTCCCCTCCTCCCTCTCCACTCACACCCTCTCCCCCCACTTCCCCTCTCCCCACTTTCCCCCCAGTCCCTCCCTTATCCGATTCGCCACTCGTCCCCAATCCCTCTCCCCCACCTGCTGCCTGCTGCGCCAGCAGCAGCTGGTGCAGGTCAGTCACACTCATCTCAGGCACCTGGCAGGGGGATGAGGGGAAGGATGAGATGAAGGACCAAAAGGAGAGAGGGGTGGAAGGGAGGAAGCTGGTGAGGGGGACGCAGCAGCTGGTGCAGCTCAGTCACACTCATCTCAGGCACCTGGCATGGGATGAGGGAAAGTACGAGATGAGGGAGAAAATAAGAGAGGGGAGAGGGAGGAAACTGGAGAGAGGGCAGCAGAAGCTGCTGCAGCTCAGTCAGCTCAGAGCAATATCTACGGCGCTTGACATCTTCACGATCTTCTTTCCGAATGCCGTAGCTTCTCATGTAACGTAGCTTCTCCTTCCTCCTTCACTCGCGTCGGTAAACAGCCTCGCCTCATCCAATCGTACATCACCCAAAGCTTTTCCGTATGAACCCGCATGAACCCGCTAGAAGGCCACGACTTTAAACAGCTTACATCAGTAAACAGCTTGTCCCGCATCCGATCGTACATCTCCCATAGCTTTTGCCGCCGCTGCTCCCCGCCCTGCTTCGCCGCTCCCTCGCCCCTCGCGGCCGCTGCGACGTCGGGCGACTCCTGGCTACGACGCGAATCATCGCAGCCCATGCGACGCGTGCGACGTGTGCGACGTCGCAGGGAGGGAGAACTTGCGGCAGGGAAAGGGAGAAGAACCGAGGGAAAGGAGGGTGGATAACCAACGACGACAAAGGGAGGAGGTGCAGGACAGTGAAAGGGTGAAGAGGAAGAGAGGGGACGATGTATGGGATGAGCGCAGCGGTACGGTGGAGGAAGAATTGGCGGCGAGACGAGGACTACGCGCATGGCTGTAACATAAATCGCAGCGAAAATGCCGCTCGAGCTGTAGGCGTGGGGCTTGTAATTTTGTACGCGTTATGTGACTCTTGAACTTGGTTCAACTTATATACCGACTTTCTTTCTAATAATTGTAAATCTGGAATCATCCATTCACCTACTCTTGCAAAACCAAACATACATCATTGGTAGGCTATATTTCATTAAAAAAAAATACGTTTGCCTGCACAGGCGAACATCTGGAAAAGCACCCCTAGAATGCCAAGCTAGACAGGGGGGAAGGTAGTAATAATTCTGAATCACTAGGACAATTCAGTGTGGAGGCTAGTAGGCAAACTAGAGCAGCGCCAAGGCTAATTCAGACCAAGCCAAAAACAGGCCTTTTAGCAAAATACACTCCATACCCTCTATTGCTCATATCCGCCTTGAGAGCCACCCCCACCAGGGTAACCTGCTCCCTCCCCATACCTCCCACCGCCGTACCCACCACCTCCTCCCCCATACCCACCGCCACCACCACCACCGCTGTACCTCCCTCCTCCACCCCCATAGCCACCACCGCCATAACCCCCCCTGCCGCCTCCTCTCCCCCCACCGCCGCCCTCTGTCCTGTTGGACGCATAGTCAACACGCACTGTCCTTCCACTCAGCTCCTGAGAGGGTTGAGAAGTGACAAGGTGGAGTGGGGTGGTGTGAGGAGAGGAAAGGCAGGATGGGAAGGGGTTTAGGGCCTCTCTTGTACCCTCTGTCCTGCTGGTGGCATAGTCAAAACGCAATGCTGTTCTACTCAGCGCCTTGAGAGGATAGGGGGGCGGGAGGAAGGAGTCGGAGGGTAAAGGATGTGGGAGGATAATCGAACATTTTCAGCTCAGAGTCTTGCTGAGGCATCGAGCCACACTGATCACACTGATCACACTGATCAGTGTGGGAGGAGGATAATCGAGCCACACTGATCTCTCACTTTGAGTGACTAATGCAGCAAGAAAACGGATGAAAGTCGGAAACGAGCTTAACCTCCGTATCCCTTTCCTCGGCCGGGGGAAAGGTTTCTCCGCCTTAACTTCCTGTCACATTTAGCCTCTAGCCTCTCTTGCTCTCGTGAATCCCTTCCAACAACAATGCCTCTTTTCATCCTTAATCCCTTCTCCTCACCTGTTAATGCCCTCCTCCTCACCTTCCTTCAACACCCGCCCCTCCCCACCACCTCCCCCCTCTCCTCTCACCCCCCCTCCACCCACCCCCTCTCCTCCTCACCTTGCCGTTAACCCCCCAGCCTTCCCCCTCACCTTGCCGTTGACGCCCTCGAGCGCGCTGGCAGCCTCCTCGTCATTCGCGAAGCTTACGAACCCGAACCCGCGCGACCGACCCGTGAACCGATCCCTGATCACCTTGGCTGTGGGCGTCGAGGTGAGGGGGAGGGAAGAAACGACGGGGGATGGGGAAACGGGCGCGTAAGTAGAGTGCACCGATACCTTATCACTTTGGCTGCGGGCGTCGAGGTGGGGGGAGGGGAACGGCAGTGGATGAGAGCGCAAGGAGGAGAAACGGGGACGCAGGCAGGGGTGTCGGAAGTCAAACCATTCAAGCCGAAACCGCGCGAGAGAAAGAGAGATGAGAACGAAAAAAGGACGTCAATGTTGGGCGAGGAACGAGGGGCCGAGGAGGGAAAAGGGAGGTAAGAGGGGGGGGGGAGAGGGGTGACAGGGGACGGGGGACGGGGGACGGGGCAGGGGTATAAGCGGTGGATGGATAATAGAGATCCAGATCGCAGATCGCGGAAGACGGAAGGCGGAAAGTGGAGGGCGGAGGGCGGATCGCGGAGAACGGATAACGGAGGGCGGAGAGCAGAAAGTGGACGGCGAAAATGCAGCGAGCAGGCGCACCTTCTTCGACGGTTCCGAAGGGAGAAAAGGCGTCCTCTAGGACCTTCTCGTCTGCCTCCCACGCGAGCCCTGCCCAATGAACGCACGGATCGAAACAAATCGCACGGATCGAAACAAATCGCACGGATTGAACGGGAGACAAACGGGTAAGGGGAGAGAGACCAATATGAAGTTCCATGGAGCAAGAGAAGCGTTACACATTAAGGAAAGCAACTGCATCCGTTAAGAATCGCAGATCCAATCAGACGGGAGGTGAAACTCGTGAAAAGAATCCGGAAAGACTCTCTGCTTGCGGATCCGGCATCCGACAATCGCATCCCTCGCCGCGAGCTACGCGAACGCCGTGAGCTGCGCGAATCATTTCTGGATCTGGGCACGCGACAGATCTAACCGGGACGGAGCGCCGTCGGCTTCAACGGATCCATTACACCCGACGCGGGAAACAGATCCACGAGGCTGATGACGAAACGGAGACGGAGACGGCGACGGGGACGGGGACGGAAACGGAAACTGGAAACGAGAGACGAGCTTCTGATGTACGGCGTATTCCCGAGGAGTATCGAACGGCGTGACTCGTAGCCAGGAGAGACACACACGGCACGAATAGGCTCACCGTATCCCAACAGAGATGTACGCGTGGGTGACGAAAGTGAGAACGGAAGCGGTAACGGAAGCGGTAACGAAAGCGGTAATGAAAGCGGTAACGCACCTCCGATGAAGAGCTTGTTGCCGGACATGAACCGCACGGCTTGCGACATGGCGGCGGGGAGCAGCGATAAGTGCGGCTGCGGCGCGTGGAAGGCGGCGAGCGCGTCATTGGCGGATCCCGATCCTTGTGTGACTGATCTCCTCAGCGCGTTCCCGATCCCCCGAAGGAAAGCCATCGCGAACGGATGTCAGATGTTAGCCGAGTGAGTAGATCGTAACACGGTTGATGGAAATCGCTGCTTCGAGCCTTCAGGAAACGGAAGGAAGTAGAAGCACCGAAAATAAGTTGTGCAAGTCCGAGCAGCAAAAGTGCTGGACGAAGAGCGAGCGGTAATGGTTCTACCTTCGGGTTATATCGGCACGTGGGTGACGGGGAATCGGCTGCCACGGTGCTGTGACTATGAGCAAGAGGCGTGCGCAATCGGAGATGGAAAACATCATCGCAGTGCGGTTGGTTGTTCTTATAGCTTACAGACGAAGAAGCTATTAATCAGTTATCCGGTCTCGTTGATATTTAACAGTGAGTTCGGGTGTTGGGTCAGGTTAGGTTCGGTTGAATGGGAGTGACCTGGCAGGACTTTGCCACCCGTGGATGACGTGTGTCGCTGTGCAAAAATATCTTCGTGGTCCACCACCACACTGAAAACCCAGTACACTGCAATGCACCCATATATTTCATCTCTAGAGAAAGTTTCACATGCATTTGCTGCATGGTTTGCTCATGATGGCAGGCTAGAACTAATTGTTAGCTTTCTAAATGGCATTATTGAGATGACTAGCTTAGCAGTACGGCCAGGCCTAGGGTTAGCCAACACGTACGACAAAATAAATACTTGATCTCAGTAAGCTGATGCTCGTTTCCTCAGGCCTGGAATGAAAGCTGAGATCTCCTTTTCCAGGTCTTCTAAACTCTGCTCCAGCTGCTCCTGGAAATCCCTATCCTCTTCAGTCACCGCCCTCCCATGCACCACCACCGCCCGCTTACACACCACCACGAACCGCACGATCGCAGCCGTCAACATCTCCAATTCCGACGGCTGTAATTTCTCCGGATCCTTGGCCCTCGGGTTCGCCCCCTGCGGATTCGCCTGGTAAAACGCCATACACACTCCCAGCACACCGCTGTTAACCTGCAGCGCCACACTCCCCTGCAGTAACCGCTGCAGCGTTTGTAACCGTGGCAGCTGTAGCGGGCCCGAACCTGCTGCCATTGCCGCCGCTACAACCGCCGCCGGATCCTTCTTCCCAGCCGGACCTCCTGCCGCCCCTGCCGCGCCACAATCTCCCAACTGGCTGGCCATTTCGGCCTCTAGTGCAAACGACCGCGACTCGATAATCTCCACAGCGCACTGGATCGGGGAGTACTCCCGAACCTCCGACCGAACCACCGGCTGCCGGCTAATCAGGCTCGGGAGCGTGCTCTGCGTGTACAGCAACGTTCGTCTCTTCCACTGATCCTCCATCCGCCCCTGCTGCTTCCCGTTCGGCGTAAACGGCGTGTCGAAAAAGAAACAACTGAACGTTGGAGTGCCGGCGATCGGAGGCTCGAGAGGTCTGCCGAGCCACCGACCCTCCCCCGCACCTACCACAGGCTCGACGGCCGTGATCTGCATGTAGACGAGGTTCGGCTTGAGGGCGGCGGGGTCGACTTGGCGTGAGTCCTGGATGATTTGCAGGGGCTCCTCGTCGGGTGAGCGTGCATCGTAGAGCGCTTTGAGCTTCTCCATTATGTCTCCCAGCCGGACATCTCGAGGTTCTCGATAGATGAACTCCCTGCCGTGGGGAGAGATTGGGAAGAGGGATGAGCAAGGGGGTAGTGCAAGCATGAAAAGGTGCTCCTCATCGGGTGAGCGTGCATCGTAGAGCGCTTTGAGCTTCTCCATTATGTCTCCCAGCCGCATGTCTCTTGGCTCGCGGTATATGAACTCCCTGAGTTGGAGGAAGGGAGGAATGGGGAGAGCAGTGTGGGGAGGGTAGGGAGAGCGATGGGCATGGGGGCGTGCAGGTATGAAAAGGTGGACCCTCGGCTTTCAGCTTCTCCATTGTGTCTCCCAGCCGCACGTCTCGTGGCTCGCGGTGACCAGTGACCCCTGTGACCAGTGACCATTGACCAGTGACCAGTGACAAGTGACCCCTGTGACCAGTGACCAGTGACCAGTGACCAGTGACCCCTGTGACCAGTGACCAGTGACCAGTGACTAGTGACCAGTGACCCCTGTGACCAGTGACCAGTGACCAGTGACCCCTGTGACCAGTGACCAGTGACCAGTGACCGGTGACCAGTGACCCCTGTGACCAGTGACCAGTGACCAGTGACCCCTGTGACCAGTGACCAGTGACCAGTGACCGGTGACCAGTGACCAGTGACCCCTGTGACCAGTGACCAGTGACCAGTGACCAGTGACCCCTGTGACCAGTGACCAGTGACCAGTGACCCCTGTGACCAGTGACCAGTGACCAGTGACCAGTGACCCCTGTGACCAGTGACCAGTGACCAGTGACCCCTGTGACCTGTGACCAGTGACCAGTGACCTGTGACCAGTGACCAGTGACCTGTGACCTGTGACCTGTGACCAGTGACCAGTGACCTGTGACCTGTGACCTGTGACCTGTGACCTGTGACCAGTGACCAGTGACCAGTGACCAGTGACCCCTGTGACCAGTGACCAGTGACCAGTGACCAGTGACCCCTGTGACCAGTGACCAGTGACCAGTGACCAGTGACCCCTGTGACCTGTGACCAGTGAACAGTGACCTGTGACCAGTGACCAGTGACCTGTGACCTGTGACCTGTGACCAGTGACCAGTGACCTGTGACCTGTGACCTGTGACCTGTGACCTGTGACCAGTGACCTGTGACCAGTGACCTGTGACCAGTGACCTGTGACCAGTGACCAGACCTGCATGTGTCATCGAACCACTCACCTGCCATCGATGTATCGGAAGCGTTCCCCGTAGAAGCCGACTCGATAGTAGCAGGCGTCCTTGAAGGGGATGGGGCTCGTCTCCTGCTGCTCCACGTTCTCATAGATGGATGCGATCTTGTTGTGCGTCTTGGTTAACTGGCAGGGCAGGTTGGGGCAGGGACAGACAGGGGGTTCAGGGACCGAATTGAGGCTAAGGGGCTTGCGGTCACAGCACATGGCTTGTCTCCTGCTGCTCCACGTTCTCATAGATGGATGCGATCTTGTTGTGCGACTTGGTTAACTGGGGGGTGGAAGGGAAGGGGGGTGGGCAGGAGGGGGAGAGGGGACGGGTGGGGGTTGGGTTTAAGAAGGAAATAGGAATTAAGGTGCAGCAACGGGCTCGTCTCCTGCTGCTCCACGTTCTCATAGATGGACGCGATCTTGTTGTGCGTCTTGGTCAGCTGGGGACAGGGTTGGGCGCGGGCAGAAAAGGGGGAAAGGTCCGAGCAGGGAGGATAATGGGTTATGAGGATCGGTGGTGAGCAGCATGCAGCCTGACAAATGGGTTCGTGTCTCCAACTGCTTGCTGGGTTCGTGTCTCCAACTGCTTGCCCTCCTCTGATCTCCAAAATAACCCCACCCACTCCATCCCCATGCGCACCTGCTTGTAGTCGTGGCAGGAAGTGGAAGAGCTCCGCCTTGTAGAACAGGTTGCTCGCCCTCTGGACGTGCTGCACCGCCCCCTCCACCCCCCGCCACCCCCCGCGCCCTCGTCATTACCACGTCACGGCGCGTTAGGAGAGAGAAGGGCAGCAAACACTCTGTTTCTGCCTGCACTCACCCCTTCCCCCATTGCCCACCCGCCCTGACCCAATGCACACGCGCACCTGCTTGTAGTCGTGGCGCGTGCGGTGCAGCGGCAGCAGCAGCGAGAGCATGAGCGCGCAGAAGTGGAAGAGCTCCGCCTTGTAGAACAGGTTGCTCGCCATTTGTATGTGGCTCACCGCCCCCTCCACCGTCACACGTGCCGCCCCAAACCCCGACTGGGACGAGAAGGCCCGCGCGCGCCACTGGTGGCGGGCTAAGGGGCAGATGCTCCACAGCACCTCCAAATGCTCCTCGTCCCACACCGGTTCTTCCGAAGCGATTTGCAAACCCTGGGAGGTAGCATTGAGATGGGGGCGAGAGGGGGGCGAGAGGGGGGCGAGAGGGGGGCGAGAGGGGGGCGAGAGGGGGGGTATTGGCATGATTAGCACTGCCACTGGTGGCAGGCCAGAGGGCAGATGCTCCAGAGCACCTCTAGATGTTCTTCATCCCACACTGGCTCCTCTGACGCGATTTGGAGACCCTGCGAGCGTCACGAAATGGGAAGAGTAGAAGAGGAAGTGGGGAGTGAGGGGAGAGTATCGATGTAAGCGGCACTGCCACTGGCGGTGGGCCAAGGGGCATATGCTCCACAGCACCTCCAGGTGCTCCTCGTCCCACACTGGTTCCTCTGATGCGATTTGCAGACCCTGGGAGAAGAGCACTTGTGATGGCATTACCTTTACCACTACCACTCCATTACCATTACCACTACCACTCCATTACCATTACCACTCCATTACCATTACCATTACCATTACCATTACCATTACCATTACCACTACCACTATCATTACCATTACCATTACCATTACCACTACCATTACCACTACCATTACCACTACCACTACCATTACCAGTATTTTTATCATTACCATTACCATTACCATTACCATTACCATTACTATTACCATTATCATTACCATTACCATTACCACTACCATTACCATTACCATTACCATTACCATTAACATTACCATTACCATTACCATTACCAATACCATTACCATTACCATTACCATTAACATTACCATTACCACTATTATTAACATTACCATTACCATTAACATTAACATTTCCATTACCATTACCATTAACATTACCATTACCATTACCATTACCATTAATGGTCCAACAGCAAACACTCACCTTGGAACCCCAGCACCAGTGAACCCCTGAACCTTGACCCCTGGCCCCTCAACCCCAGCAGGCAGCACCCATTAGGCCTTGGGCTTACCCGAATCACGATGCCGGCGACAGAGACGGCGCACTGAGCAGCCTCGGCCCACTGGTTCATCTCCTGGTGCGCGTCACACAGGAGCAACATCCACATGATGTAGAGATCTGGTAGCATTAACTCACCCATCCCTCAAGGCTGAACCTCACCCCAAGGGGGCAGAACCCCCCCTAGACTTACCCGAATCACGATGCCAGCGACAGAAACAGCGCACTGAGCAGCCTCGGCCCACTGGTTCATCTCCTGGTGTGCGTCACACAGGTGGAGCATCCACATGATGTACAGATCGGGCACGTGCCCGTATGCCTGTGCCAGGATGTAGTAGCTCTCCACTATTGCATACTTGTCGTTACTTGTTTTCAGCCCCTCCATCTGCGAGGAATGAGATGAGAGGATAGGCAGGCAGGAATATGGGGAAGGATCAGGGTATGGGTTGATGCAGCATCCACAAGATGTGCGGGTCTGGCACGTGCCCGTATGCCTGCGCCAGGATGTAGTGGCTCTCCACTATTGCATACTTGTCGTTGGATGTCTTCAGGCCCTCCATCTGAGAGGAAAAAGAAGGACGGTTGAAGGGAGGAGTACGGAGAACGCTAAATGGTCAGGCACGAGCGCATACGCTTGCGCCAGGATGTAATAGCTCTCTGGCGGATGGGGCGACACCGGCGGAACCTGGGGGAGCGCAAGCGGCGGATGGGGCGTCGCGTCTGGCGGCGACGACAGCAGCTGGGGAGCCTCCCGCGAAGAACAAAGGGGGGGGGGGAGAGAAGAAACAGAAGCAGTTGAGACAACACCCGTGGTTGTTCCCCTCGGTCGTCCCCCGCGCCAAACTCTACCTGCACTACCTCCCCCTGACACTCCGTTACACCACGATCCGTGGGATACCATCCACTGGGGCCACGAACCATCAACCCCACGTCGCACCGTCTACGGACCCGCTCCAGAACCGCGCGAACCTACCCTCGTCCCTGGAACCATCCCTGGGACTAACATCCCGCTCTCTGAAATTCGCGACAGAGAGTTCTTGGCGCTGATGCTGACTACCGCGGCAGAAGAAGAAGAAGCAGAGGAAGCAGCAGCAGAACCTGCTCCCGTACCTGATGAAGACCCTGAGGAAGCTCGCGCGCGCTACATGCGCACCTCCGGCTTTCGCGCTGACGATGCACTCTGGCGCCATCGTTGAACGTCTTGAGTCAGGCTGACCCCAGAGTGGAACCAAGAGTCAGGGAGACTCACCAGCTGCTCGTGCTGAGACGCTGCATCCACCACGGTCAGCAGCATATCCTGAGTCTCCTCCACATTTGACCACGTCCACCAATGTGACCCAAGTGTGGAACCAAGAGTCAAGAAGACTCACCAGTTGCTCGTGTTGTGATGCTGCATCCACCACCGTGAGCAGCATATCCTGAGTCTCCTCCACATTCGACCACGTCCACCTGTCCCTCTCCCTCTTCCTCCTCCGCCCCACCATCACACTCCCCCCCTCGTCCCACTCCTCATACTCCTCCTCCTCGTCCTCCTCATCCTCCTCCTCCTCCTCCTCCTCCTCCTCCTCCACAACAATCTCAAGGCAGATCGACGGTAACCCACACTCGTCCAGCAGCTGGAACCACTTATCCTCCGTCCCCAACTCTTCGAGCGAAAGCCTAAGTTTCTCAACCTCTGCGGATTCTACCAATTCCCCTGCACCCCCACCAGCACCCCCTCCCCCACCACCAGCAGCAGAGGCGATACTAGAGGCACTGGAGGAGCGAGAGGCGGGGGCGGGGGAGGGCGAGGGCGAGTGCAGCAGGCGCATGCGAGAGAGGACTTCCGAGAGGGCGACTGTGAGGATGACTCTGAGACGCTCCACGTCCCTCATGTGCAGCAGGGCGTTCTGCGGAAGGGAGGGGGTGAGGGGGGAAAGTGGGGTAAGGTTTGGGAGACAGGAGATCGTGTGGAAAGCACATCTGAGAGGGCGACTGTGAGGATGACTCAAAGATGCTCCACATCCGTCACGTGTAGCAGGGCGTTCTGTGTGGGAGGAACAGAGCAAAGCGGGAACGGGGAGATGGGGAGTAGGGGAGGAGGAGAGGGGGGAGGGCGGGACGGCAAAAGTCAGAGCGGAGGTGACACACGAACCTTCCACTTCGAGGATTGCTTGCACATTCTTCAGAAGCACATAAGCAATCAGACGAGAATTCAACAGAACCTTGTCTGGAAGCATAAGGAAACCTGGCCCAGGGGTACGCACGCGGAGCAGCAGCAGCAGGCAGAGCAGAGCCCTCTTTCTGATAAACTCAGGGCGAACAGCCATCTGCCTGAGCAGGCTGCCAAACAGGTCCTTCAGCAGCACGTCGCCCCCCTTGGCTGCCGCAGCACCGTCAGCAGTGTCGGCAGCGGCAGCAGAGGGCGGGCCATCGAGCATGGCCTTTCCGTGGAGGCGAAGCATCTCAGCGAAGGCGGGCACAAAGGGTTCCCAAAAGCTCATGGGCTGGAAGGGGGGGGAAGACGGGCAGATGGGGAAGGGAATGGGCGAAAGCAAGAGGGCAGAAGGGAATGAGAGGGTGGGTGGAACGTCGAGCATGGCCTTGCCATGGAGGCGCAGCATCTCAGCGAAGGCTGGCACAAAGGGCTCCCAAAAGCTCATGGGCTGGAGGGGGAGAGGGGGAAAGTTGGGAATGCAAGGACAGGAGGGCATGAGGGGGCAGCAGAGGGCGGGAAGTCCAGCATGGCCTTGCCGTGCAGGCGCAGCATGTCGGCGAATGCTGGCACGAAGGGTTTCCAGAAGCTCATGGGCTGGAGGACAGGAGGGGTTGGTTAAAAAACGTGGATAAAAGGGGGGAATGGAAGCCATGCAAGGGGCCAGGGGGGCAATGCATGGGGCAAGAAGGCCGGTGCAATGAAGATGGGGTAAGGGAGGGAGGTCAGGGAGGCAGTTGGTGCAAGTGGGCATGGCCAGAAACCGTTGGCTTGGGAGTCCCACGTGTCAGAAACGGGCGGCACTGTCAGAAACAGCAGCGAGGGCGTGTGGGATGAGATGAGCACATGAGAATAAGCGGGAAGAGTGGTGGAGGAGTGTAAGAGCATGCAGCAGCACACCCACCCACCTGTGGCAGGGCGAGCATGACGGAGAGAGGCCCGGTGAGGCAGTCCATGGTCTGGTAGTCGGTGGCAACGAGTCCATCAGCAGCCATGTCGCAGAACTTCTCCACCACCTCCAACACCTGCACCGCACACCATGCTGCCACGCTGGCTTCCCACGTTAGCTGGTGATGGGAGTGGGTTAGGCATATAGGGGTGAGGGGAAGAGGAGAAAAGGGTTACCAACGAGTCCATCAGCAGCCATGTTGCAGAACTTCTCCACCACCTCCAACACCTGCACCGCACACCATGCTGCCACGCTGGCTTCCCATATCAGCTGACGATAAGACGGATAGAGGGGATGGATAAAGGGGACAGGGACAAAGTAGGGGAGAAAGTGAGACCATGAGATGGGAACATGAGGGCACAGAATGCACAACCCCTGGCCCCCACGGCTATGCCTTATTCACACAACAAACTCCCTCACCCCCAACACTCCTACCCCAACCCCACCAACCACTCACCAGCTTCGCAGAAGCGCTCGGCGGCAGGTTTTGTCTCATCAGCGCCATGGCATCTTTCGGCGGCATTCTCGACCGCGCAAGCACATCCCTTAAGGAAACCGCCGACCCCTTGCCGCCTGACACGGCGCCGCCTGTAACCTTTCGGATTATCTGCTCCCTCTCCAGCATGGCCTTGGGATCTGCCCGTGCCATCTCGTCCAGCTGGTCGTTTGTGGCCAATGAGACGCGGTCTGAGTACATCGGGATTGGCGGAGGCTCCACTGCCAGCGTGGCGTCGGCGGGTGCTGACGTGGCAGGGCTGGATTTGGTGGCGGTGGGGCGGGGCTTGCTGCCAGCTGTCAGCTGGGGGGGGTGCTGTGGGTGATTCGGGGAAGGGGTAGTACAGGGAGGCGGGGTGAGTGGGGGGGAGAGTGGGGGGGGACACAGATCAACTACCTGAAGCAACACCTGAGAAAGAACTGAGAAAGCACCTGATAAAGCACTGAGAAAGTACTGAAAAACACCTGAAAAACCACATGAGAACTCACCTGGAAGAGCACGAGGGCCTGCTGCAGGAGCGTGAAGAAGAGCCGTGTTCGCACGTCGCTCTGCTTCCACGCCTTGAGCAGCGTCTCATTATCCAGATTCCGCACCACAGTGAGCATCACGACCAGAATCTGCCTTCTTTGGATCACTCCTAGAGTGTTGAAGGTCTCGACCTCGTCGAGGATCATGTTGACGATGGGCATGTAGAGCTGCGCGATGTACAGCTTGAGCTCGGGCTGCTGGTACCGCGCATCGTACTCGTGCTTCGCCACCTGGAATGCTAGCATGCGCGCAGCCTGGTGCCAATATTAAGGGGAATAGGGGAAAGGGGGAAGATGTAGCGAGAGGAAAGGACAATGAGTGCCTGGCACATGCTTTGCGAGCAGCCTGGGGTTGCCAAGGGGTGGGGATGGGAGGGACGGGGCCTTGGTGGGGGTTGGAAATTATCTGACCGAGGGCAAATCTTCTCAAGAACATCCATGTGATGAAAGACACGCGTTTAGGAGAGTGGGCTCGATAGTGCGCAACGAAAGTTGTGTGCATAAGTTGTTTTTTGGGTCGACTCAAAGATTGACTTATCACACGTTCATCCATCCATGCCATGACAATAGAGAGCAGACAGGGGCGTACCAGCGATCGCTGACTGGGATCCTCGTGGTCGAGGCTCACAAAGAGGTCCTTGAGCAGCACTGTCGTCAGGTAGTTCCTGGTGGTGAGCGGTGAAGAGTGGTGATGAGAGGTGATGAGGGGTGATGATGAGTGGTCATCGTGAGGGTTGGAGAAAGTGTGGGACTGACTAGAGGCCAGGCCACCAGAGAGCACAGAGAGAAAGGCGCCAGCAATGAGTAACAGCCGAATGGGGTACTTGCATGATGCATAGCATCACGGCTGAGAACCCTAACACCCAAACTCGAGACTCTTGCACCGTACTTGACACAACACAAGGCATTCCAGGACTCACTTCTCTGTGGGCCCTCTGCCGGGCGTCTCGATGTAAAGGTCATGGTCGCAGACGATACGGAGGAAGTGAAGCTTGAACATGTGCTGCATGGGGGGGCACACCCCCACGAACTGGGAGAGGAACAGGCCGACCTGTGATGGGTAGATGGGAGAGGGAGAGGAAAAGGAGGGGGAGATGGAGAGCGATGGAGGAAGTGCAGCTTGAACATGTGCTGAAAGGGCGGACAGACGCCCACGAACTGCGAGAGGAACAGGCCGACCTGTTGTGAATGAGGGTAGGGCGAGGGAAATAGAAGGGGAAGATGGAGAGGGAGGAAAGGGAAGTGCAGCTTGAACATGTGCTGAAAGGGCGGACAGACCCCCACGAACTGCGAGAGGAACAGGCCGACCTGTTGTGAGGGAGAGAGAGAGGGGAGGGAGATAGGGGGCGGCGGTGCGGGGAAAGCAGGGGAGGAAGAGCAGCTTGAACATGTGCTGCATGGGGGGACACACGCCCACGAACTGCGAGAGAAACAGGCCGACCTGTTGTGAGGGAGAGAGTGGGAGGAGGGAGATAGGGGGAGGCGGTGCAGGGAAAGCAGGGGAGAAAGTGCAGGTTGAACATGTGCTGCATGGGGGGGCAGACGCCCACGAACCGCGAGAGGAAGAGACCGACCTGTGATGGGGAAAGGGAACGGGGGTGGGGGACGAGGGTAAAAGGGGAGAGGAGTGAGAAGAGGCAAGCATGAAGGACTGGCAAGTGAGTGGGGCCACAAAGCCACATAATAATTCAAAGACGTGGGCCGGGTTGGTCGACGATAAAGATGAGATCGTAAGAAGAAGGAGATGGAGGAGCTGATAGGCCTATGCGTATGAGTTGCGCGGGTTCAGATTCATGCGCTCACCAGCTCGAACACTTGTGGAGGGTCGACGACGGAGATAAGGTCGTAGCAGAAGAAGGAGATGGAGGAGCTCAGGCTCTTGGCGAATGAAGGAATGGCTTGACTCAACAGCCACACTCTAGCTAAAGAAGGGCGCATACTTACCAGCTCGAACACTTGAGGCGGGTCGACGACGGAGATGAGGTCGTAGCAGAAGAAGGAGATGGAGGAACTGAGGCTCTTGGCGAGGGGCGGGTCAGAGACGGCCTTCTCATGCACCTCGGTCAGCAGGCACTCAAACAGCTGCCGGATGCACAGAAACACCTCGTCCTCTAGCCTCAGACGCGCGATCTCATCGCCTGATAAGGGCGGAAGGGAAAGGTAAGGGTGGGAGATGATAGGAGAAGGAGGGTTAGTTTGCAACAGACTTCTCATGCACCTCGGCCAGCAGGCACTCAAAGAGCTGCCGGATGCACAGAAACACCTCGTCCTCTAGCCTTAAGCGCGCGATCTCATCGCCTGTGTGGGGGAAGGTGAAAAACGGGGAAGCGGTGTGGGGAAAGGATAGTAGGCGTCAGCCTTCTCGTGCACCTCGGCCAGCAGGCACTCAAAGAGCTGCTGGATGCACAGAAACACCTCGTCCTCTAGCCTTAGCCGCGCAATTTCATCGCCTGGTGGTGTTGTTTGCGGGGAAATGGGGGAGTAAGAGGGGGAATGGGGGGGGGGGGGGGGGGGGGGGGAGGAGTGGCAGTGCACAATCCCAGGCCGAGACGTATGAAGCAGTGGCAGGCAGGGGGACATTCTCTTAATCTTCACATCACATGCCACCATCCCAACAGATGCGCAGACTGCACTATATGACCTGCTATCTCATAAAATCAATGATAACTTATCATGTCTCAACTTTCTCATGAAATCTGACTACTCTCACCGCATCACATCGCATCGCACCTTGCGGCACCTGAGCCAGCTCCAGGTCCATTTGACAATGAGCTCCAGCACAAACCACGCGCCAAGCCATCTGCTCTGCTCTGCTCTGCAGCGCGGGCTGCACTATGAACTGCTACCACACGGTATAGGATCCCACTTCACCGCGTTGTACTGTATCGCACCTTGCGGCACCTGAGTCAGCTCCAGGTCCATGGACTTGACAATAAGCTCCAGCACAAACCACGCCATCTGCTCTGCTCTGCTCTGCACCGCGGGCTGCACTATGAACTGCTACCAAACGGTATATGATCCCACTTCACCGCGTTGTACCGCATCTCACCTTGCGGCACCTGGGCGAGCTCCAGGTCCATGGACTTGACGATGAGCTCCAGCACAAACCATGCCATCTGCAGCGCCTCCGCATACACCGGCCCCACTCGGAACCCTCTCGACTGGGGGGGAGGAAGTGTGTAGGAATGAGAACGGTGGATGGGAGGGGGTGGGGCACAGCGCGTGAGCCTGGCAGGTGTACCAGCAGCCATTTGCAGCGCCTCTGCATACACCGGTCCCACTTGGAACACCACGATTGGAAGTGTGTTGGAGAGGGGAAGGGGCGAAGACAGGAGATGTGTCATATGGCATGCGCACACAGCACAGCAGATCCGTTCGAAACCCTTGACACTGGAGTCTTGGGATGTGGGATGAAGCTCATGCAGTCAAATTTGAAGCGCACAACTGCCGTCACTCTTACCTTTCTGCGTGCGAGACTGCGCCACACGTTGCTGAGACCCAAATGCACGGGCGGCTGGTTGCGACAAAGTTTTGCCCCTTACCCCCTCCCCCTCCCCCTTCCCCCTCTCCCTCTCTCCCCCTCCTCCCACTGCCACACGCACCTTGCTGCGCGCGAGGCTGCGCCACACGTTGCTGAGCCCGGGGTACACGGTCATGCTGGTTGCAACCAAATTTTGTCCTCTTTCCCCTCCCACCTCCTCCATCCGCCCTAACCACTCGCCTCTCCCCCTCCTCCCACTGCCACACACACCTTGCTGCGCGCCAGGCTGCGCCACACGTTGCTGAGCCCCGGGTACACAGGCGGCTGGTTGCAACCAAGTTTTGAGACATCCCCAACCAGCCTCTTCCAAGGTCATCAAAGATGTAGTCTACACATTCACATGTCATACATACCCCGGCTGCTAACGCGCATACCTTGCTGCGCGCCAGGCTGCGCCACACGTTGCTGAGCCCCGGGTACACAGGCGGCTGGTTGCAACCAAGTTTTGAGACATCCCCAACCAGCCTCTTCCAAGGTCATCAAAGATGTAGTCTACACATTCACATGTCATACATACCCCGGCTGCTAACGCGCATACCTTGCTGCGCGCGAGGCTGCGCCACACGTTGCTGAGCCCCGGGTACACAGGCGGCTGGTTGCAACCAAGTTTTGAGACATCCCCAACCAGCCTCTTCCAAGGTCATCAAAGATGTAGTCTACACATTCACATGTCATACATACCCCGGCTGCTAACGCGCATACCTTGCTGCGCGCGAGGCTGCGCCACACGTTGCTGAGCCCCGGGTACACAGGCGGCTGGTTGCAACCAAGTTTTGAGACATCCCCAACCAGCCTCTTCCAAGGTCATCAAAGATGTAGTCTACACATTCACATGTCATACATACCCCGGCTGCTAACGCGCATACCTTGCTGCGCGCGAGGCTGCGCCACACGTTGCTGAGCCCCGGGTACACAGGCGGCTGGTTGCAACCAAGTTTTGAGACATCCCCAACCAGCCTCTTCCAAGGTCATCAAAGATGTAGTCTACACATTCACATGTCATACATACCCCGGCTGCTAACGCGCATACCTTGCTGCGCGCGAGGCTGCGCCACACGTTGCTGAGCCCCGGGTACACAGGCGGCTGGTTGCAACCAAGTTTTGAGACATCCCCAACCAGCCTCTTCCAAGGTCATCAAAGATGTAGTCTACACATTCACATGTCATACATACCCCGGCTGCTAACGCGCATACCTTGCTGCGCGCCAGGCTGCGCCACACGTTGCTGAGCCCCGGGTACACAGGCGGCTGGTTGCGACCGAGGTCGTCAAAGATGAAGTCCACAAAGTGCACGAGGAAACGACTTCGCTCCATGGGGGCTGATCCGGTCTGCGGTGCCAGCTCCAGCTGCACTCTGCTCGCATGAGAGGTGGTGGTCGCATGGGATGAGACGAGGGGAGAGAGAAAGTCATGTCAGAGTCAACAAAGTACACGAGGAAGCGACTGCGCCCCATGGGGGCTGCACCATTCTGAGGTGCCAGTTCCAGCTGCACTCTGCTTGGTGGAAGTATGGGGATGGGGAGATGGGGAGTATGGGCATGAGGATGAGACAAGGGAAGGCGAGAGTCAACCTTGACTTGAGCGCGTTGATGGCAGAGAGGGGGGGCAGAGGGGCAAAGGGTATGCCTATGCACGCCTATCTAATACCTACCTGGAAACAATGTTGATCATAGCACGAAACGCCGCCACCTGCAGCGTCTCCACACCATTGCCGATCATGCAGAGCAGCATGTTGAGCAGCGGGTAGAGGAACTGCATGAGCAGCACCACGCCCACCGTTTTGAGTGCGTTGATGGACTCCAGAAGGTCCTCTCGTGGCAGCAAGGCAGAGGGAGGGCGGGGAAAGCCTACCTACCCAAGAAGCCCACCTGGAGACAATGTTGATCATGGCTCGAAAGGCTGCTACTTGGAGGGTCTCCACCCCGTTCCCAATCATGCAGAGCAGCATGTTGAGCAGCGGGTACAAATATTGCATGAGCACCACCACGTCCACCGTCTTGAGTGCGTTAATTGACTCCAGGAGATCTTCTCGTGGCAGGGGCGCCTCCAGCATGTGGCGGTCGAACTGGTGGAAGAAGTCCCTCAGGCGGTCGGAGAGCGGCAGGAGCGACGAGAAGAGCCGCGTGCGCACGCGGAAGATTGGACGGCCTTCCTCCCAATAGGTCAGGCGCGACTGGTGGAGGGTGGGGGAGGAGAGTTGGGCAGATTGACATGGCACTAGGCGAACCAGGGATAATGGAAACACTGCCAGTAGCGCAACTGCAGATGCTTAAATATGGCCGGATTTACGTGGCACGACGCCACACCAAGCATATCATGCTGCAACATCATCAATGAGCAATGACGCAACATACGATGGGGCAGCTCACCTTGGTGCTCTCCTGCAGGTAGCGCGGCTGCAAGTCCTTGGATATGGGCAGATTCATTTATTGGATATGACTAGATCCACTTGGCACCACGCAAAGAACATGCTACCAGCATTGAAAAGGCACTGCAGCAGCCCCGGGTGCCTCACCTTGGTGCTCTCCTGCAGGTAGCGCGGCTGCAAGTCCTTGGATATGGGCAGATTCACCTCCGCTTTGAACGCTCTGAGAGACAAGGGATGGGAAATAAGAAGCATCGCGGACAGATAAAATGCACGGCAGATGATGGCAGATGATGGCAGATGATGGCAGATGATGGCAGATGATGGCAGATGATGGCAGATGATGGCAGATGATGGCAGATGAATAACACCTCCAGACTGTTCATATTCCAAAGGAATGTGCACGAAATTACAGCCAAGCTAAGCTGGGGAAGGAAAGCGTACTGTAAGGCAGCCGCAAGAGGCATGACCGCGTAACCCACTGCCACCTGCATTGAAACATTACAGCCCACACAGCAGGAGAAAAGATTCAGACAGGAGGAATATATTGAACTAGGGACTCAAAAGAGATCCTAAATAGATGGGAAAGAAATGAGGTGAAGAGCACATGGTGCGTGGGCAACACGGGAGCAACCAGTTACATCTCTGCTCTATACCCCTTACAAGCATACCCTGTGCTCGGCACAGGCGCTCACCGGCTTGGGCCGTTCGGAGCGCAGGGAGAGGTCGATGTGGAAGAAGGTGAAGAGCAGATGGTGCGAGGGCGACACAGACGCGGGCAGCTCAGAGCTCTCCATCTACCTCTCTTCTGCACCCGTCACAAGCTCATCCCGTACCCTTTACAAGCTGTACCAGTACTCCTACAAGCCCTCACGTACCGGCTTGGGCCGTTCGGAGCGCAGGGAGAGGTCGATGTGGAAGAAGGTGAAGAGCAGATGGTGCGAGGGTGACACTGAGGCAGGCAGCTCAACCCTCTCCCTCTCTCTTCTGTAGCCATCACAAGCTTTACCAGTATACTTACAAGCTCTCACTTACCGGCTTGGGGCGTTCGGAGCGCAGGGAGAGGTCGATATGGAAGAAGGTGAAGAGCAGATGGTGCGAGGGCGACACAGAGGCGGGCAGCTGCATCTTAACCTCGTCGTGGAACAGAGCGGGTCGCGCTCCCTGCACCACCTGGGTTGACGCAGTGCGCAGCATGGGGCCATTGCGCTCCTTGGGGAAGATGGCCTGTGGGGGGAGCCGGGAGTGGGGAGTAGGGAGGGGGGAGAAGGCGGGCGGGAGGAAGGGGGGTTGAACGGGGGAGAGATGGAGTATTTGTCCAGTGTGCCCTGTGCCGCCTAGAGGGATGCTGCTCGTCGCATGGCCCCACAACGCTCCGTTGGATTGCCACTCGCCTCCACTAACGACTGCTGGAATCCAACAGTTGGATTTCCCTTATCCGCCCTGCCAGTTGCACAGTATCATCCGCATTCTCAGCTGACGTTCGTTGAATCAGCAACCAACTCACACCAAGGTCGTTAGAATCGCCAATCGCCGACAACCGTTGGATCGCCTCTCACCTCCATCGATGGCCGTTGGATGTCGAGATCGTCAGCAGCACGCAGCTCAGTGCGCACAAAGAGGTTGAGCTTCTTGGGCAGCGCCACCTGCTGCGATGCTGGCTGACTTGCTGCATGATCCACCACTGGCCACCGTCGGATTGGCACTCACCTTCATCGACGGCCGTTGGATGTCAAGGTCATCAGCACGCAGCTCGGTGCGCACGAAGAGGTTGAGATTCTTGGGCAGCGCAACTTGCTGCATGGTCCACTGACAGCCGTCAGATCGACACTCACCTCCATTGATGGCCGTTGGATATCGAGGTCATCAGCGCGCAGCTCAGTGCGCACGAAGAGGTTGAGCTTCTTGGGCAGCGCGACCTGCTGCGGATACACGAAGAGCAGATGCACCAGACGCGTGAACGGCTCCGCACGAACCATGTCCGTGAAGTCTATCGCCTGGAACTGGTGGGGGGGCGGAGGGTGGGGGAAGGAGAGGGGGAGGAAGAGGGGCTTAAGGGTGAGGGGCGGGGAAGGAGGGGAAGAGCAGGTGCAGCAGGCGTGTGAAGGGCTCCGCGCGAACCATGTCCGTGAAGTCGATCGCCTGGAACTGCACAGCGGGGAGGGGGAGGGTAATGGGGGGGGGGGGGGGGGGGGGGTTGACGTCGCTGCTCTTTGTGCACCAGGCACGTGAAGGGCTCCGCCCTCACCATGCCCGTGAAGTCAATTGCCTGGAACTGGGGAGTGGGAGGAGGGAGGGTTGGGAGAAGGGAGGGAGGGTGAAAGGCAGAAGGGAAGAGGGTGGGTGGGATTGGAATGGTGACCATGTTGACAACGTCACCTCTGGGCTCTTTGAATTGCGACCGTGACCCCACCCACCCCACTTCTCCCCCCTCTCTTTTCCCCCTGGACTCAAGCAGCGGCAACACCATACACACAGAGCATTCAGCAGTCACTCCAGAGGGGAACCTGGAAACCGAGAGGCTTCTGGACACCATGTTGACATCGTCCATATCTGAGGTCATGGAGTCCTGCGACCGCACCGAGGCGGCACCATGCATACAGGGCAGTCAGCACTCACCCCAGAAAGGAACCTGGAGACGGAGAGGCTTCTGGGAATCATGTTGACGTCATCCATGTCTGAGGTCATGGAGTCCTGCGACCGCGCCCGGTTCACGCCCCTCTGAGACGCGCTGCTGCTGAGGGACCGCGGTGTGACACTGCCGCCCGCTGCTGCCCCCCCTGCCGCCCCCCCGGGTAGCCTCTCCACCTCGAAGTGCATGGAGACGCGCACTGGCTTCTGTGCCTTCTTCTTCGGGTCCTGGGAAAGAGAAGGGTGGTGGGCCCAGAGGGGGAGTGGAAAGGAGGGCGTGAGCGGGGTTGTAAGGGGTTGAAAGGGGCTGAACGGAACAAGGAGCCAATATGTGGGGGCTCACCAGCAGCTGGTCGTCAGTAGCAGTCTTTCGCACCATCCAATGAGCAACCACAGATCATTGTTTCGACGAGCCTTCAAACCACCAAAAAGCCAGGATTCGGGGGCTCACCAGTAACTGATCGTCAGTGTAGCACTCCTTGGCGCGATTCAGCGTGGGAATGTCAATCTGCACGGGCGGGCCCCCTAGCTCATAAGCCGGCACGCGCACCCCATTGCTGTCCACCACTGGACTCGACCCCGCCCCTCCGCTTCCTTCCACCCCCAGCACGCCCCCACCTCCCCCGAGGCTCCCTGACGACCCTCCCCCTGAGCTGCCCCCTCCGGATGCTCCAAAGCCCCCCACGCCGCCGGTGACCGAGGAGTCAAAGAGGGGAATGGTGATCCACGCGAGGGGCTCTCGGAAGGGCATGACCTGCGCCCACTCGGACAGACGCGCCGCCTCCTTGTCCGTCAGGGTGGGCTGGAGGAGAGGGGGAGAGTGGGGGAAAGGATGGGGAGGAAGGGGGGGGAGGTGGGGGGTAAACATGGGAGAAGATTGGAGTAGAGAGGCTGAGGGGAGAAGAGGAGAAAAGCAAAGTGGATTGTATTTTCAAGGTGCCTCAAAGACCAAAGCACCTCTAATCCGAACCACACCCACCCTGACAGCACACTCACAGGGTCCTTGCGAGTATACACAGCCGGCTTGATCCCATTCACGCTCTCCTCACTCGCGGCCTTCTCGAGCTGCACCAGCAGGCACAGCGCCGCCGACTCCTTGTCCACTGAGAAGATGGCTCTGGTATCAGGGGACGTGCTCTCGCCCTCCCACTGTGGCGGCAGGAACTGGAAGTGGAAGTCCTCGGAGGCCTTCTCTCGGCGCTCTGCGTGGTACAGGCACATGGTGCCACTCACTGGCTCCACCAGTCCCGCTTGCACTGTCAGCCCGAGAATTCGCACCGAGAAGCGCGTGCCCCTGCGAGAACCGTGGGGAGGATTGGAGGTGCAGGGGGGATTGGGAGAGGGAGTGAGAGGTTGGGTTGGGGAGGGGGGAGAGGGGGGGTGTGTGGGTGGAGCTAGATCGGTTGGTGGTGGTTGGGATTGGAGAGGGAAGGGGAACTGGAAGTGGAAGTCCTCGGAGGCCTTCTCACGGCGCTCTGCGTGGTACAGGCACATGGTGCCGCTCACTGACTCCACTAGTCCCGCCTGCACTGTCAGGCCCAGGATTCGCACTGAGAAACGCGTGCCCCTGGGGACCGGTGGGGATGATTGGGGGGTGCAGGGGGGACGGGGAGAGGGAATGGAAGGTTGGGTTGTGCAGGGTGGAGAGGGGGGGAGTGTGGGTGGAGCTAGCTTGGTTGGTGGGGATTGGGATTGGGGAGGGACGAGAGACTGGAAGTGGAAGTCCCCGGCGCTCTGTTGCGTGCCACACATGCATGCATGCTTGCTTGAGTCTCCTCAGACAGAATGATCGACTCACACAGTGGGCGAGGTGATTGGGCGGATGGGCAGGCGGTGGCCGATGACAGCAGCACGCTCCGAGTCCCAGTTGAAGAGCGGATCGTACGCCATTATGGTCGACCCCCCGTAGTGCTGCCAGCCGTGCAGTGACCCACGAACATGCACCCACCCCCATGCCCATGCGCCCAAAGCCATGCAGCAACCACCCACCATGCACGCCATGTCAGCCCATGAAACCCCATGCCAAATCATGCCCACCCATGCCACCCCATGCCAGCCCATGTCACCCCATGCAAACCCATGCCACCCCATGACACCCCATGCCAACCCATGCCACCCCATAGCACCCCGTGACAGCACATACCGCCCTATGCCAGCCCATGCCAACACATGTCAACACATGCCACTTATGCCAAACCAAGCCAAACCATGCCACTCCATGTCATCCATGCCATGCCATGGCGAATAATGGAGATAGTGGCGGAAGCAGCATTGGGGAAATGAGAAAGTGAAAGAGACACAGAGTTCCTGGGGTGAAGGAGGAGGAGGAAGGCGGGCGTGGGGGAGGGGGTGTTGAGAGGGGAGAAGGGGGGAGGGGAGGGGGTGGTGTACGGGAGGAAGAGTGTGGGGTGGGGGGGGTCGGGGTGGGGGAGAAGGAAGAGGGGGGATGGCAAGCAGCAACAAAAATATGGGCATTGATCAATTGTTAGGACACTGAAGGCAACAAATCAGGTCATTCAGTCAGCGAGCCCTCCTGTCAAACGAGAAGCTAGCAGGCTGGGCGAATCCCCTCACTCCTATAACCCAACACCGCGCACTGACCTCGTCCATTGACCTATCCCCGACATAAGGGTCCTCGGGTTCCTCCTCCCCTCCATTCTGCCTGTAGCTCCCTGCTTTGGAGCGAGGTGCAGATAGACGGTGGAGAACGGATGGGGCAATTGGCACACAGAAAGGCGAGGAACGAGCGAGGGACGTAAAAGGAGGGAAGGCAGTGGAAGCAGCGAGAGAAAAGGCAGTAGAAGAAGAGGGAGTGAAGGAAGCGGAAGCAAGGTTCAGCTCTGGAGAGTTGTCCGCAGGGTTGGAAGGGAAGCCTTTTGAGAATTGTAAAAAAGCACAAGCCAGCATGCAACCCCCAAAAGCCGTTTCTTCCGCACCCTAACATGGTGCATTCCCCTCCACCCCCCATCCCCAAACATACCCGTTTCTCACTCCCTCTGATTCTCACCTGGAGGCGCGTCTGAGGGGTTGGAGGGGAAGACTTGGTTGGGGAAGGTGAGGTGCGGCTCGCAGATGAAGGTGCCGTACTTGTTCTCTATGTGCACGAAATCCGCGTTCACGCAAAAGTCCAACTCGCGCAAGTGGGGCACCTCCTCGGCCTCCGGCAGAATCTAGGGGAGGAGGGAGGAGACGGGAGGATGGGGGGAGGAAAACGGGAGGTGAGCGGGAGGAGGGGGGGGAGGAGAGGGGGGAAAAGGGGAGTGTATGGGAGGTGAAGGGGAACGGGGGAAGGGGAATTGTGGTTGAGAGGCGAGGAGAAAGGGAACCAATGACTTGCAACAAGAGATTCAGAAGAGGAAATTCCGCTTGTTCAGCATCTCCCGTATAAAGGTGACCCCTTGATTCTGTAAGGAGCTTTGCCATTGGAAAGGACTGACGCGAAGCGAGACGGTTCTCAGCGGCCAGCATTCCGCGAGGGATTGGTGAGCCAACAAAAAGCGGACTATTTTATCATCGCGCACAAGGCCATGCTATCCAGAAACGCAGTCAACAAAACCGTACACTCCAATCTCTAGAAACATCGGTCAAGTCGACTCAAAATCCGCCTCCATAAGAACTGCATTTTCGTGGTAGGGTAAGCTCATAACGCTGATTATGACTGTAACCTAGTCCGGGGTGAAGTATTAAGAACTATGAATACTCACCATGGAATCCAGGTTGGACCCCTGTCCAATTGCCGGAGGCCGCGGGACATACTTAATCTCCAAAAGGCTCATGGCTGCTGGTAAGTCAGGCCCCACTAAGGGGCCTGCTCGTTACCCTGACAGGAAATGCACGACACTGAGGCACCAAGACTTTAGCGACGACGGCGACGTTTCTCTAGTTCCTCCATTTCGCCTAATTTGAGTTTAACGTCCCATGGAAGCAGAAGTAACTGCGACTGAAGGTCTCGAGACGGAAAACTACGAGGCCAGATTGCTTGCGCACTGACCGCCTGATCAAAGACTACTGAGGGCACAAGAGTAACGGCCGAACGCAATGCCGACCAGAAAGGAGGGTAGGACGGCGATAAAGCGGTGGACTGTCTATGACGTCGTTGTCGCGTGCCGCCAATGGCTAATTGGTAGGAGCGTATCGTGTAGGAAGCTGTCAGGCAACATATGCAAGACGAACTTGATTAGTAACTGAAATGAAACTCAAGTTTCTACAACCGTTGTGTCAAACTCCGCGTGGTACAGAGTGTTTTAGCACGTTATCATGCTCTCTGGTGCGGTGACAGTAACCAATCAACTCAGCCATCCCGAACAAACCTCCCGCGATCCCCTCGGGGAATCACGTGGCCAAAATAGAATAGAGTAGGTTCGGTTCTTCTTGAGAACTCCATTCTCGCCGAAGCTGCGACGCGGTAAGAGAAGCAGGGCTGTGATTCGGGGACATGCCTCGGCAGAACAGACTCTGCCAGGTTCGGCGTTAGGCTCAAACATCGAGAAGAATGCGGTCTACTGAATACGTAATCACAAGAGTACAGAAATATCACATGGTAGAACCAACAAAATTTGGGAGGGTACTACTACCAGGAATCAAATCCTTTGTTAGCCAAAATTGTTTGTACTTCTTCCATGCCTACATGGCAGCTCTATTATGTGAGCACTGGAACATCTTGACATATCCCAAATCGACGCCTCCCAGATTCTTGACCTACATATGCTTAATGTTCAGTTAGTCCCACAAACTCCACATTTTATGTCACGCACGCCGCCTCCACCACGACCTGCTCACCCAGTCTCCCTGCATTCGTCCCTCATCTCGTCCCATCTGCTGCTGTGCCTGCATGTACAGCTGCTTTCAACCCTTGCACAGATGCCCCTTCACCTTCTGCTGCTCCCCCCTCTCCTCTACTTTCCCCTCCTGCCTCTAATTGGCCACCAGGTGCCACGTCATCACCACCAGAAACCTTTCCACCTCCACTATCATCCCTCACACCCTCACCCGCCTTCTCTCCCCCTTGACCCCTCTCTCCTTCCCCAGCCTCCCCATCTCCTCTCCTTCCCTCTCCCGCCTCCTCCCCCTGCCCCTCATCCACCACAGCAGCATCAGCATCAGCATCGGCAGCGGCAGCAGGAGGCATGGAGGCGAGAATGAGTTGCTTCACAGGCTCGCATGCTGCTTGCGTGGATATGAGTGTGGCCGGAGAGCCGTAGCAGCGGGAGAAGCACACAGCCACGTAGGGGCAGACCACCTGCACGGGAGAGGGGGGAGAAGGGGGTGGAGCAGGGGGGAGAGTAGAGAAGAGGGGAAGTGGAGAATAAGTGGGAAAAGATGAAATGAGTCATGAAAACAGAGGTTGAGTGCATACACACTCTGCACACGGACCCCACCACCACTACACATGCACTGACCTCTTCACACACACTCCCAAATGAACCGTCACACACACTCCCACTCTCACCTCCACAAACGCCTTGCACGTGCTTATAAAGAGCGCTGCCTCGGAGTCCTTGACTATGTGTGTGTGACTGTAGCGACCCAGCGACCCTGCCACCACTGAAAGCGCCCTCTCCACCTCCCCTGCCAGCTGCTGCTTCAGTGACGTTGGTGCACAGTGCCTCAACTCGTTCAGCGCTGCCAGAATGCCTGCTCATGGGAAAAGGAGAGGGGAAACGGGAGGAGAAAGGGTGGTTTGGGAGAAAAGGTTCAAATCGCCTCAAATTTGCGCTATTACAGTTTTGTGTGACTGTAGCGCCCCAGTGACCCCGCCACCACTGCCAGTGCCCTCTCCACCTCCCCTGCCAGCTGCTGCTTCAGTGACGTTGGTGCACAGTGCCTCAACTCGTTCAGTGCTGCCAGGATGCCTGCTCGTACAAGGGTAAAAGGGGGGGAGGAAGAGTGGTTTGAGGCGCGTCACAAGTTGTTCTTGACCAGTGGGTATCAAGTGACCCCGCCACCACCGCTTGCGCCCTCTCCACCTCCCCTGCCAGCTGCTGCTTCAGGGACGTCGGTGTGCAATGCCTCAACTCGTTCAGTGCTGCCAGAATGCCTGCTCGTAGGAAAGGGAGGTGGGGGGGGGGGGGGAGGGGGGGAGAAGATTACGAATCGCTCCCACAGTCACCCATTAGCGCACAGTGCCTCAGCTTGTTCAGCACTGGCAAAATGCCTGCATATGAAGGAGAGGAGCGGGGTGGAATGAACAGGTCGGGAAGAACTTCTGTACCTTGTTCTGCTCGTGAGCGGGGTGGAATGACGGAGGGGCAAGGGGGGGGTGGTGTTGGGAGACGGTGAGGTGCCGGGCCACGATCAAGAGTGTGCTGAATGAACAACTGTTGCCAATGAAATACGAACAACTGTTGCCAAAGAGAATGTGAGTCACTGAGTGTGAGTAAGCAGAGCGCAGCACCCCATCCCACAGCATGCCACCCCCCTGCCCTCCTGTGCCATCTCATCTTAATACCCTGTTAGGAAGAGCGAATAACGACTACCTACCCTGTGCCACGTCAGCATGACTCCATTCCACCCTGGCACGCACCATTCACAAAAGCGGCCAGTGGTGGGTGCTCCATGAGCGAATAGGGCGGTGCCACGTCATCAAGGGATTCACCTCCCAGGCCCACGCGTGCAGCAGAGCCCATGGACGGCAGCGGCACCCATCTGTGTGTCTCCAACACATGCTGCAAGGACAGGGGAAGGGAGAGGACAGGGGGAAGAGGGCGTGAAGAGGCGGGTGGAAAACTATCGATCATGCCCATGTAGTGGCCAACGCCTATGCGCGCAGCAGAGCCTATGGAGGGCAGCAGCACCCATCAGTGCGTCTCCAACACATGCCGTGGGGAGGAGGAGGAGGGGACGAGGGGATTGGGGTTGGGGGATGGGGAGAAGTGGGGGGGAACGCACCAGCGTGCGCCAATGCATGCTCAAGCAGGGAAGGAGCAGGGGAAGTATCCTACGTACCATGTGTGCCCATACCATGGATGGACCATGGGAGATGGGCCATGGGTGATAGGTGATGGGTGATGGGTGATGGACGATCGGTAGATGAATGGTTCATCCCATTCGACTAATTGCAGTACACTCACATGGAAGGAGTCAACTGCAAAGGAGATGTTGCGCTGAAACATTCGCAGCACACACCTGAGGGGGGTGGATGCAAGCACGATGAGAGAATTAAGAGGGTAGAATGAGGGTGGTGGGAGTGATGATACGATGACGAGGAAAGGCAACAGCAACAGAAGCCGAGATAATCAAATAATCAGCGAAGAAGTAACCGTATCAGTGGAAGGCAAAGAGGCCTTTGAAAGGCAATAGGGCTCACGATTCAAAGAGGGGAGGCAGGAGGCCTCTGAGGTCCAACCCCACTCGGCCAAGACTCATGCCACAATACTGCCAGGGAGGAGTCAGGGAGACACGGGTTGGGGAGAAAGCACATGCATGGATAGGAGAGGAGAGAACATCAGGCAGGGTGGAGAGAGCACGTAAGAGCAAGGCGAGGAAACAGGAATGTGGAGGGGGTAGGGGATGAGGCATCAGTGAGGTGAGGAGAGGGTAAAAGGCATAAGCGAGGAGGGAAGAAACGCGAGGGGAGGGGAACAAATGGAGAAGAGTAAGTATGTCCTTAGCACGTGCATTATTGCCTGCCCAGTCTACGCCTGTTCCTCATGTCAAAAACGTTGCACCACGCCCCATATCTCACCATGCCCCACGCCTATGTTCGAAAAGACGCGTCCTGCGTCCTGGACGCATGCGTCCAGACGCATGCGTCCAGACGCAGGACGCTGTACCTGGACCTGTAAGACGCACCAAAAGACGCAAGCCCGGGCAGGGCAAAAAAAACTCCCGGGCAGGCAAAAAAAAAGTAGTACAGGGCTTGGGAGAGGGGGGGTTGGGGACCTACCACACTTTCAATGCAACATTTTCCCCAACCACAAATATTTACCATAGCTCGAGGAAGCCATAGCGGAGTTTAGGTTGCAATCTAAGCTAAGACCTAAAACCTCTGGGTTTACAAAAGAGAATTGGTGAGGGTATAATGAGAAGCCACAAAAGCTTGCCAAGGTAAATGTGCTTGGTGGTGGTGGGCCACAAGGGTTGGGATTCGTAGATTTGAAGTGGTTGAGAGGTTTGAGTGAAAGTCAATTTTGATTGAGTTGTTACGGAAATGTTGGGTGGGCTGGTTTTGAATGGCGATTTGGGGTTGGGGAGGGGGAATTTCGCAATTTCGACATTCGCGTCGAAATCGCGAATGTCAAAATCGCGATCGATTTTTTTTCCGGGCTGCCCGAAAGTTTTTTCGACGAGCGTCCTGCGTCCTAGCGTCCGGACGCTGCGTCCGGACGCAGGACGCAGCGTCCTAGCTGCGTCTTTTCGAACATAGCCCCACGCCTGACTGATGCTATGACGCCCCACCCCATATGCCCATCCGCCCATGCTTATCTCACCATGCAGTGCTCGAGCACGCTAGCCAGCGACCCGCCATCCTCGATTCTCGGCAAATGCTGCGCCAGTGCTGCTAAATACACCGCCACCCGGTGCATCGCCCACCCATACACCAGCCCCCCATCTCAGTGTCTCACCATGCCGCCCATCTCACCATGCCATCCATCTCACCATGCCATCCATCTCACCATGCCATCCATCTCACCATGCCGCCCATCTCACCATGCCATCCATCTCACCATGCCGCCCATCTCACCATGCCATCCATCTCACCATGCCGCCCATCTCACCATGCCATCCATCTCACCATGCCATCCATCTCACCATGCCATCCATCTCACCATGCCATCCATCTCACCATGCCATCCATCTCACCATGCCGCCCATCTCACCATGCCATCCATCTCACCATGCCATCCATCTCACCATGCCATCCATCTCACCATGCCGCCCATCTCACCATGCCATCCATCTCACCATGCCGCCCATCTCACCATGCCATCCATCTCACCATGCCATCCATCTCACCATGCCATCCATCTCACCATGCCATCCATCTCACCATGCCGCCCATCTCACCATGCCATCCATCTCACCATGCCATCCATCTCACCATGCCGCCCATCTCACCATGCCATCCATCTCACCATGCCATCCATCTCACCATGCCGCCCATCTCACCATGCCATCCATCTCACCATGCCGCCCATCTCACCATGCCATCCATCTCACCATGCCATCCATCTCACCATGCCGCCCATCTCACCATGCCATCCATCTCACCATGCCATCCATCTCACCATGCCATCCATCTCACCATGCTGCCCGCCTCACCATGCAGTGCTCGAGCACGCTAGCCAGCGACCCGCCATCCTCAATCCTCGGCAGATGCTGTGCCAGCGCTGCCAAATACACCGCCACCCGGTGCATCGCCCACCCATACACCAGCCCCCCATCCCCCCCCGCTCCCGCAAGCCCCCACCCGTTCAAAACCGCCCCACCTCCCCCCCTGCCCTTCCCATACTTCCCCAACACCCCCCCCACCCCTCCCCCGGCTCCTCCCCCCACTCCCCCGTCCCCTAGCAGAGCCGCGAGCGCAGCCGAATCCTCGTCCAGGTTCGACGAATGTGGGTCGGCGGAGGAGTGGTGGGCGAAGATGGCGTGGTACTGCGTGGCGACGTCAAAGAGGTGCACGCGGTGGCAGTCGGTGAGGCGCTTCAGATACTCGTAGGGGGATGAGGGGTCCAGCTCAGATACCACCTCCCCCAGCCACGCCTCCCTGCACCGCAGGAACTGCAGGGGAGGACGAGGAAGAACGGGAGGGGAGGAGGGGGGTGCGGGGAGGGGGGAGGGAGGGGGGGAGGAAGAGGTGGACAGAAGGAAGAAAGGGGATGATGAGAAGGTGAGAGGAAAGGAGAAGATCTCAACCCCAATGTCAGAGCGGTAGGATGAGAAGATGTCAACCCCAATGCCACATGGAGTTCATGCAAAGAATGGTTGGAACTTGGAACCAATACCAGAAAGACACATTGTTCACCTGAAGCCGCATCTCTGTTTCTGAGAACACGGCCAGCCGCCGGAGGTAGCCAATCACACGCAGGCACTCAGGCAGCTGCAGGGAGTGGTTGGTGCAGGACACAAGGATATGGGAAAACAACAGCGGGTAGTCAGTCAGATGAGAATTGAGCAGCCAGGTGGACACGCACAGCCAGGTGGACACGAGCAGCCAGGTGGACACGAATTTTGCTCCGGGAGAGAGGAGAAGGGGAGAGAATCGAAGGAAACTAGGCTTTGGATGCCAGAATGTGAGATGCATTGGAAGGTTTGGCAGGGAAGAACGCTGGTGTAGAGAGAAGAAAAGACACGTGCGGCCTCTGCTGCTGCAGACTCCTCACTCAAACGTCAAATGCCATTCTGCTTGCTCACCTGGATGTTGGATCGCAGGCGGAGCAGCAGCTGTGACAGCATGGCCTGCGTGGTGTGCCTCACTTCCACCGCTAGCTGCTGAATCACTGGCAGCCTGGTGGTGGGAGGGTGCAGTGATGGGGGAGGTGAGGAAAAGAGAGAAGGAGAGGAGTGAAAGCATGGCCTGCATGGTGTGCCTCACTTCACTGCAAGCTGCTGGATCACAGGCAGCCTGGTGGTGATGCATGAAGGTTGGGTTGCATGTGGATGCACGGTTGGTGGCAGGTGTAGGTGGCAGGTGCACGGAGGGGGGAATGGGGAGGGAAAGCGGGGCGGACATTAGACCCCCCCCCCACGTCTTTTCGCCCACCCACGCATTTGACATTCGAACCCCTCCCCCCTACGCACATGACTCCCCCCACCATTCCCCCCACGCACATGACTCCCCCTTTTTCCCACATACTTGACTCGGAGCCCCCCACGCACTTGACTCCCCAATCCCCCCTCCCCTCCACGCACTTGGCATGCATGGTGGCGAGCTTCGCAACAAACGCCTCCAGGTCTAAAGCCTCGTCGTAGTTGCCATTGCGCACACAGCTGTGTGGGGACGAGGGAGGGACACAGGTGAGCAGAGGAGCAGAGATGGGAAGAGGAGGGGAGAACGAAAGTATGCATTGCTTCTCACATCTCAAAGAAAAGAAAAGGCTCAAACAAGGAAAGAACAGTTCAACTAGAAAAAGGAGTAGCAAGCGTTGAAAAGACCGTCCAGGCACAACAACTGGCCATGCACCCACGTGGTCATGAATCACAGCACCCATGTGGCCAGCACCCACATGGCTATGAGCCGTAGCAACACTCACGTGTCCATGAGCTGTGGGATCTCTAGAAGGTCCATGAGCGTGGGGTGGGTGGCAAGCATTGTCTTGTTCAGCCGCCTCTTCTCCATCACTCCCTGAGCCTCCTCCAGAAACTCATTGCACCCAGTTGTGAGCTTAGGGATCTCCGACACCTGATGCCAGATACAGTGGGATAGGATTTGATACGATACGATAGGATCAGGCAACAATTTCGGAATTTCCAAAACATGATGCCACATCCAATTTATTTGGAAGGATACGATGCAAGACGTCAGATTCGACAATAATGATTATGACGAATATCTTGACAATGATGTGCATATAAGGATGCGGTCTCCACAGCCACCTCCTGACAAATGTTGGCCAAAACATGTCCTGATACATCGTGATGACGCAATGTCATATGATCGCCTCTCACCAAAGACCCTAGGTGTTGGTCGACGGAGTTGATCTCGCGGTGAATGGACCGGATGGCGTCAGCGGCGGTGATGAACGCGCGGTAATGCGCCACCGCCACCTCCTGCATCTGCCGCTGCACCCTCTCCGCATCGGCGCGCAGCAGCTCCGGCTCCTGGCGCAGGCAACGCGTTAGGGGCGGGAAAAAGGACGACGTGAGTCAAAGATAGTCAGAATAGGTGGTAACAGCCTGAGCAGCGGCAAGAATCGCAGAGTCAGTGTTCCTGATTGGTCCGGCCTCACATGAGAGAAGCGTCAAGCATCCATGTGCCCTGACCGAAGGTTCAAAGATAGCTCTTCGTCGCTTTTCTTTGAATCTTTCAAAAACCATGACTACCCGTGATTGTCCGAAGTCCTTCTACCTTACTACCCCAATTTCTGTCGCACCTTATTCAATCGATCAAGGCTGTAGGAGAGCAGCTCTGACAAGTACGCATCTTGAAGCTCCTCTAACCCTACCGGGCTATGGAGGAGTCCCCTAAAAGCTGGCTGGTGGGGGTGGTTGGTGCGAAGCTGCGCGGAGATGACGCGGGGTAGTATACGCGCGGAGAAGCCATTCATGCGGACGTGCGCGGGGAGCGGTGAATAAGCGTGCCTGAGATCTACGCTGCGAGTAATGCGTGGCGGGTCAAATCCGCAACATCTACGGGGGACGATACTTGGGCCTATTTCTAGAATGTCAGGTGCTAGTGTACCTTGCCAGAAGGAATCCGCTAAAGACATACCAGGGTTCCGTGAAAATGGAAAAGGGATGTGATGAGTAGAAAGAAATGCGTGATGTTTTAAAAATTACAGGTGTACACCCTTGTCTAATGCTCATTTTATTTCAACGATGCGAGATGGGCGAAAAGTCGTTCGGGCAAGTTGTTCTTATATCCAAACAACGCGAGGCCGAAAACGTGTCATTCGCCAATCACAACTGAGCTCTACGCCAGGAGATCGGGTTGTCAGGGAAAAGTGAGTTTCCCTCCAACACAGGCCTCAAGCGGAGTTGCTCTCACTGCTTTCACATTGGGCCTTTTCTCCCTCCACGCATCAAGGGGTGCTGAAGCACACCACAAGCTTTGGGAATTGCTTTAGTGTGTTACGCGGGAACATCGCTGATTAGCTCAGCGAAGTGGTCGCCCCACGGTTTTGTGGGCCCCTAACCACTCACCACAAAGCCGCGCTTGGTCCACAAAGCTTGTTCTCGAACGTGTTGGGTCTGGCACACTGTTTGGGCCTCAAACCAACCTTCCCCAAGGCAGGCAACCAATCAGATAACGATGTTTCTGGTCCGGCGGTAGACTTGCCGTGCCACGGATGCCAGTCATACCAGCTTCTAAGCCCGGGTGCCCGTGCCTCGGCAAGCTGTGGGAGAAAGAAATGGCCGCTTCGGGAAGGCAGAAATTGGTCTTTCCAAGCAAACGTCGTCAGAAGACACGAGCAGCACGATTGTGGCACTAGAGTATTTCACGGGGATATGGACGCCAGGCAAGCTAGCCTGAAGCCGTTTTGGCACACGTGGGCCGCCTGCACAGGATCACATTTTCTCTTTTTCATGAGGCCGTAACTAGCTGAAAGTGCAATCACGGATTAGTTTCACAGAGCGCTTCTTATACTTCTCTTTGTCAGAGGGCCGTCCAGCCGCATAGGCGGTTCTGGCGTTGATGGCAGTAGGAAAAATGGATGCGTCTGCTAATTCGGACGCCGCTGTTCCAGAGGAATCTAACCATCCACAGGAGAAAGAGGCTCAAGAGAAGAAAGTTACAGCAGATTCGCACGCTACCGATTCTCAGCAACCCGCTTCATCATCGCGATCAGGGTTAGTTCTTCCTGATTTTCCTACCTTGATTCCGAGAATGTACCTCATCAGAGAATGCAACCTCTCATTGGAACCTACTTGCTAATACGCGTGCAATGTTGCAATGCAGTGGAAAGATATTTATAGGGGGGATTTCATGGGAAACGAAAACAGGTGCGCAGATATGTCCTGCTATTTTTTTCCTTACCCTTCCTCTCGAGTCAAGCTTTCGTCTATCAATGTAGTCTTGCCCCATACGTGCTCGCGAATCATCAAGCTTTTCTCCTCCTTGATATGCAGAGGACTTGATCGAGCATTTCAAGCAGTATGGAACCATTGTGGATGCGGTGGTTATGAAGGATCGGGTAACTGGCCGGCCACGTGGATTTGGATTTGTCACTTTCGAGGATCCCTCAGCGTGTGATAAAGTCGTGGAGGATCAACACGTCATTGGCGGCCGCGCGGTAGGTGGCGTCGGATTCCAACATCATGGTCGTTTTCAAAGAAAGTGTCCATTGATATTTAGTGGCGTCTCATAAGCTCTCGAAATTCGTTCTTTCTGGCTCCACGTGTAGGTGGAAGCTAAAAAGTCAGTTCCACAAAATGCAAGTGCAGGACGTGGTCCGAGGACGAAGAAGATATTCGTCGGAGGCCTTGCTGGTAGCACCACAGAAGGTAACTTGAATGTAACACTGCATTGTCCGCCGTGTTCCCTGTAACACTGCATTGTCAATCGCTGATGCGTTTCCCGTTTCGTGCAGAGGAATTTGCCGCGTACTTTTCGAATTTCGGAAATGTGGTGGATCGCCAAGTAATGATGGATCATAACACTGGTCGATCTCGGGGGTTTGGCTTCGTCACTTTTGACAGTGAGCAATCCGTCGAAAATGTCCTTGCTCAAGGAAAAATGCATCAACTTGGAAACAAACAGGTAAAACGCGAGCCAATTTTGTATGCGACTTTTCTTTTTTTGTTAACAATCAGCACCCCTCCTATATGTATTTCTCTGTTTAAATTATCAACATTGACCCGCTGCCTGACCATTGCTTTGCTTGCAGGTTGAGGTGAAAAAAGCGGAGCCCAGGAGAATGGATGCTTCTGGAGGGAACGATGGCTACGGTGTAGTAAGGGGTCGTCGCCATGGTGTAGAGTACAGCTCGGGAGGTTACGGGATTCCGGGGAGCTACGGAGATGCCCCCATGCCTGCTTACAGAGGCGACTACGGCTATGGCCCTGCTTATGCAGGTGGTTATGGTGTCCCCTATTCTGCAGTGTACATGGGAAGTGCAGGCTACAGACCATACCCCAGCTATGGAGACACATACGGCGGAGAAGGCCAAGGAGGATATCATGCAAGTAGTCCTTTCAGTGGAGCAGCAGGTGCCAGCGCTTATGTGCCTAATGCTGGGCTTCAGTATGCAGAACCCAGTGAAGGATACGCGCCGCCAAATTTTCCTGGAGGATACCCTCAAATGGGACCAGGTCCGCCCACAGACTATGCGATGGGAGGGACGTATGTTAGTGGGGCATATGGTGCATATCCTGCTGGTCCATATGCCCCCCCACCACCTTCGCCAGTACATCCAGGCTTTCAAGTCGAAAGAGGTGGAATGTTTCCTGGGCCTAGTCAAATTCACCCCTATGGGAGGGGGTGAGTTTTTCTCGTTGTGACGAGTTTGACCTTTACGTGTGTTTCTGTAATGAAATATGGTGCCGGAACAGAAACAAAACAAGGAAATAGGTTCCATCTTATTTTGGGAGTCATACCATACAACAAACAAGCAACAGTTGTAATGATTCAATGTCCCTGGGCTGGGACCAGAATGCTGTAAACTGGATACATAAAGCATGAGATGAGATGATCATGAGGAACCATTCAGGGCAAGGAGGAAGTGTGTTACGGACATGTGTACTCTCGAAAGCAGGAAGTGCACATACATAGCTATGACTAGCGGTGGGCGTGGGAGGTGCGTCTTGGAATATATATGTGTTGATGATGTCTCCACATAGTGATGGACAAGCGAGTGAGGAGGGTCTTCCTCAAGTTACAAGTCGAATAAGGAATGAAAAATGGGTGCTGAAACCCCTACGGTGTGTGGAGTGGAGGGATGAGGAAAAGGATGAGACCCTTAGGGCGAGCAAGATGAATAGGATGGGATAGAAAAGTCTGGGGTGGGTGGGTAGTGTATGTCGCAAAATGTGTTGGCTGCAAAAAAAAAAATGTTTAGGTTTTACCCTGATGGAGCTGGTAGCCCCCTTATGCCTATCCCCGCCCACTCTCTCCTCTCCACCTCCCCCAACATCAAAGTTATTCCATATGAACTATATTTTTTGACGTTTCTATAATAATGATTACATTTTTTAAAGTCTCATTCTGCAATTGTCAATGCTCTGCACCCAGTCAAATTATATTTCAAAGAGTTAACCAGAGCTGAAGCATTTTCTGTCTATAATACAATATCGTATGTAAATAACAATCAACACTAATATTCGTTATTCAATACTGAAGTGATTGTTGCGAGCATTCAAGCGCGAAGTGGGCTGGTAAAACGCACAGTGCTTGGGACGACATTACACGTGGCCCGAATCAACCAAGCATACGACGTTTATCTGATTGGTTGTGAGTCATTGCCCAATCCATTTCCGTGAGACCTGTCCAATCCGTTGGCAACTGAAATCCCAGTGCGACGTCCAGAAGCTGATCGGTTGGCTTCGCGGATGCCCTTGCCCGACCCAGTAATGTAATCCCACAACCCCACTTCCTCAGTTTGCCAGACTTCGCTCCAGCAAGCTCATCTAATTCACCTAACGCCCTTCAGCTAAACCAGAGCTGACGCCATGGCCGCCGTGTCCACCTCCGCTCTTGTTGCCCCCAGCTCCATCAAGAGCTTCGATGGCCTCCGCGCCAGCGCCACCCCCAGCCGGGTGGTGAAGTTCGCTCCCCTGAAGGGCAAGGGTGCCCTCGGTGCCCGCTGCGACTACATTGGCTCCCCCACCAACCTGGTCCGTGCCCGCTGTGATTACGTTAGATGTTTCTTCGCAATTGCTCGTTGTGCTGGTTTCGACTAGACATCACGCCGTGTTCATTTCGACTCAAATCCGTCTACCTTTCTTTTGTCCCTCTCTTCTTCCAGATCATGGTGAGCTCCATCGCTCTGTGCTTCGTCGCTGGCCGCTTCGGCCTTGCCCCCTCGGCGAACAGGAAGTCCAGCGCCTTCCTGAAGTTGAGCGAGAGGGAGACCGGCCTTGGCACCAACGACCCCGCCGGCTTCACCGGCACTGATGTGCTTGCTTTCGGCGTTGTCGGCCACGGCATTGGCGTTGGCGTCGTCCTTGGCCTCAAGTACCTCGGCGTGATCTAAGCGCTACCGATGCTGTACATTCCAAGAAATAGATAATGAAACCTCCTTAATACAATTCTTATTTTAAGCATTTCTCAATAATACCTATGCCCTAACGAAGCACGCTTCCCTCGTTAGAATCGTCTTGTCAATGAACTTTAAGATAGCGTGTTCAATGCTTACGTTTTGAACTCAATATCCATGCTTGAATGAAATAAGCCTCCCACAATAGCTTCATCTATAAAATCCAACAATATTTAGTACGTCTTATTCCTCACATCCAACACCTCGGAAACATGCTCCCCTCTGTTGCATTGTCTGTGCCAATGGTAACACGCTTATAGCTTGGAGTCACTGAAATCTGTGGACGCTATAGGTCGTGCGCCCTCATACACATCTGCTCTTCGGTGCTGCATGCATCAGAAACACAAGAATGTTGAAAACCCATACAATTCTTCAATTGAGCACGCACCAAGGGCCACGGTACCTGATCGATTGGCATACGTTGTCTTGTGGACGCAAGAAGGTCCATGTCAATGTCCACAGTTGCAATTCCTGTTGCAATTGAGTCTGCATCAAGGCACAGCAACCAGATGAGCGCCTATTGTTGAGCATCTTCCTTGTAAAACCATCCCAACCCAAGGTAGCAATACTTACCACTGCAACGAGCTGCAACTTTACCCCACGGATCTACCACGAGGGCGTGACCATAACTGTCTCTGCGATCATTGTGTCGGCCTGCTTGAGCTGCTGCAATGACCTGCCAAATGGAAGATCAGCTTGTCAGCTGCGTGCTATATCAAGCAACTGCAATTGAACACAATGGAGTACTCACATAGCATTGGCATTCTATAGCTCGAGCTCGCAAAAGGACTTCCCAGTGAGCCTCTCCAGTCTTTTGGGTGAATGCGGCAGGAATTAAAAGTACCTGCTTACATAGACAGACCACACCTTTCAATACAGCGCTCCTTACCACACAAGCCAGCTGCTTGAGGTTTTGGACTTACATCACAACGATGATCGAATCGGAGCCGCTGATACAACTCTGGAAAGCGTAAATCATAGCAAACGGTTAGACCAAGTCTGCCAACAGGAGACATAACAGAGACAACGCCTGACCCTGGAAATGTGCTGTTGCTCTCGGTCAGGACTGGTCCCCCTGGAACATTAACATCGAACCTGATTCAGCAGCATAAAGTTATGTTAAGAAGGTGCAGAAGAAGGAAAACTGAAGAATCGGAACTGCCAAAAGATATTGAGGGTTTCATTACAGGTGAATTTTTCTGTACGCTGCTTGAATCTTCCCTGTGTCATCCACCAGCACATGAGTGTTGAAAAAACGCCTGCCTGCGTCAGGAACTCCTGCCTCCTGAAATCCTCCTAAAGACAACCAGATAGAAAAATCTCTGCAAGCCACAGAAAGAGGTTGTGCAAGCGGCGCAGGCTAAAGGTAACTGATTGTTTACTCGTCGACCACGGCGTGATTGATTTCATCCAATGCTGATGATGGCTTTAAAACGTGAAACGGTATTGTGAACGCACCGTGCCAGTTGGCAGTACTTCCTCATGATTGGACCATCTAGCGGCTCAGCGACTGCCGCAGCTTCTCCATCCCGTGCACCAATGAAGGAAAAACACTCAGGGAGACAAATGAGAGCCGCACCAGCTGCGGCCGCTTGCTGGCGTGAGAAAAGCGGCAGAGCAAACATTGAGTAAGAGCAGACAGTAAGTGCAAGATCACGATAACCCTAGACGATGAGCACTCCTCACATCACGGTCCTCAGGCTTACTTCCACAAGCGATTTGCAAGTAGCGAAGTTCTTCTCAACATCACCAACAGATGTCATTTGCGCCACAGCCACTCTTCTGCAGCCACAACGATCTTTGCTCTCAATGACCTTCCCCTCAGCATCCAACTTCTGCTGAAAATTACTCATTTGCTGCTGACTACTACGGCCTCCACCAACCCCCGAAAGCTTCGCTTGCAAGGCGTTGGATTCATGAAGCATACCCTCTGACCGGGCATCCAAAGATGAGTCGTCGACATTTAGAGATGCGAAGCCCCGTAATGCCATGCAGGCGAATTGATTGAACGACACAGCTGTGGGCAACCTAGGTGCCACAGGAACTCCCAGCGCTGCGTGACGCAATCCAGCCTTCAAAGTGGGCGATCTAACGAAAAATGACTTCGCTTGAAATAGCTGGCCTCTATAGACTAACATGGGGAGCCCTTATGTCCTTACGGCCCCAGAGACCATAGAGGGAACTTCACGCCTCGAAAAAAAAAAACCTTCATTCAGAACTAGCTGAGGTACCAGGTGTGGATTTCTCGTGGTCGCCACACACATAGAAACTACGAAATACGCATGAAATAAATGGTGTTCAAGCATACATACATCCCATGAAGGATGTTCCTAAAACGACAGTGACACTCCCAGACGAATCTGCAAGTCCCGCCAGTCGGAGAGGCAGCTCCGCCATGCCTTGACGTCATCTCACACAAGGAAAGCCTCTTCCTGACGTGGCGAAGCTTGTTCACACGCATCAGACCAGTCTGCTTGGTCCGACATGCCAAAGCGGGGAACTCGGCTCGGAATGGCGAGGTTGAGGCCAAATTCTCGTCACCGCTTCAGCTTCGCCAAACTCATACCGCAACCATACCAGAAGGGCTATTTGATTGGGTGTTGTTTTCCAGGCCTTGAGGATTTTAACTTCTCGGATTGGCCTAGATTAATACCGAAGCAGTGAACCCAGCGTCAAAATGAGGTATGGTCTCAACGAGACTGAGAGAATTTGAGTAACCCCAACCAATGCGATCTCTCATAACTGGTATCTTTGCCTCGGCGGGCAGCCCAGCACAAGTAAAGCGCACCAAGACGGGCCACGTGCTCTCCGAGGCTGATGAAGGCAGGCGAAACCCAGGTTTTTTGCCCATAGCCAGCTGTTCAAACCATTGCGGAGTTTGCTGTGGGTTCAGGAAGAGGCGAGGAGTTGAGGAATCCTCACGAGTCGATGGTTTGCTGCACGGAAACGGAGACGGTTGCTGCCATTCTCCATCATGTAAAGGACGACACATGGCTCTTGCTCATGAAGCCCTGGTTTGCTCTTTCAGGAAGTGCTGGAGGAGTGTTGCGGGTGGGCTTCTTTATCCAGTTCAATGGTCAGCCTGATCAATGGACCAGGCACACCCGCTAACCAGGGTGTTCAGAGCTGGCTAGGTTCCATGTTTCCAAGCGTAGACTCGGTTGATTCGATAGACACTGACCGTTACAGCGACGTTGGCGAACATCAGTGTGATAGTAATGCTTTGACTTCTTTTCGTCTTCCAGGCTCCGTCATTTGCGTTAGCCACGCTTCGCGTGCCTTTGTTCTAGAAATACTTCAAGATAACTAAAATGGTGAGGCATGCTGCTCCCAGGGGCCTGGGAAAGCATTGTCACTGTTGCCGGCAAAAGAGACCAACGGCTGAGCTAATTCCATGTGGAGCGTCTCAAGGTGAAGGTGGAGCTAAACATGGCCCGTGGTGCCATAGGTGCATCCTCACAAAGCTCCACAAAAACTTGTCGTTTATAACAGCAGCTACTGTGGCAGCCAAAAGGGGGACTTGGCGATGTCCAAGGTAAATTCAGCGTATTCAGAAAATCCCACCTTTCCTCGTCAATCTGGGCTTTTCGGAATCCACCGTGTTTTGCTAGCTTGCTGCTCCCTGGCCTATTACCAGTTTCATTTCGTAATGCTTCGTTCCTGGATTCTTTGTGGTCAGGTGTGACGATGTGTGTCCTTGCAACAAATGTGTTCAGAGAAGAAGCAAGGACGGAAGGCAGAGACGAGGAAAAAATCAGCCCAGGTTTTCATTTGCCTTAGCTCTCTACATGCTGTTCCCGTGCATGGTCAGACTTGCCGTAGGTGATGTAACCGAGTGTTTCTTGCCGCATCCTGCAGGGAGGGAGCCAGTGGATTCGAGTTCGGTAAGGGAATCGAAGGCCTTCACATTAGTGGCTCCTCGCTTGCTGATGACGACTGTGCTCCTGGGGCGTCGCACACCGCAAAGGCTACATCAAGTAGGTGATTCTGACGTTTGAACCGTCTAATTTTGGAAGTCACGTTCTCGCTGACTCGTTTTCGCTGGCAGGTATCCCTCAAGACGATGAAGCATATGAAGGCGCTCTCGGCTTATGTGCTATCCTAAAGAAGGTCGTACTTTTGGTGCTATTTTTGAGGCCCTCATTGACTCGGCTATCATACTAACCTACTACATCTTTTTTCACTTTCAGGAAGAGGAGGAGGAAGATTCGCATTCCAATTCGCCATCTGAATCTAGTGATGCGCCAACGCCTCCACAGCAACAAAATTCTGGAACCTCTCAAGATCCGAGACTCTCTGCATCAGATGATCAACCAGCCGTTAATAGTTCTGAAGGGAAAGAGGAACACTTATCTCCCACTGAGCTGCCATGGACCCCTAGGAAGAGCAGGTCGGCTTTCAAGCGCGATTCTACAACAGCAAGAACCAAGGAAGTTCTTCAGGAGTGCCAATCACAAGCCCTTGCTCGAAGAGAAAAAATGAAGGTACGGTTTGATTGCATAGTTTGTCTGTCGTATTGATTTTCTTACAACATCTCAGGTCCGTTTTTCTTCTCCTGCAGGATGTGCATACTGTGCCACATCAAGCTGAAGAGAACTTGGAACTTCCATCAAGGCACAAGCTGCCTAGATACTCTGTTGATGAGGAGCAGCAACCAACGTTCCTGCATGACAGTCATTTGCCATTTCCTGGGATTCGTGGATCCAGGAGCTTTACATACCAGATGCAGGACAACACATTGGGTTGTCGTTCGAACAGTGGGCACAAGGATGGTCAACTCAAGCCAGGGCTGAGGCTTTCCGGGTCTGCAGACGCGTTTCAATATGTCATGGGGAAAGATGTGAGCATTTCACCTGCAACGGAGCGCATATTTTCTGTCGGGAGACTGCAAGATTCGATTTCCCCTCGCTCGGCGTCTCTTCCGCACACTCCAGTTCGACGAAAACTTTCTCGCAAAGGCATTCCGTCAAGGGGTGATTCGGGCATTGATTTCAGCCCTCTACTCGAGCCATCTTCTCCATGCAAGGCAGTCAGCCCATGTGTTCTTCCACGAACAGCAGCTGAGCCCTCTGTAAATAATCAACACAGAATGAGTATATCAGCTGCTGGTTTGGAATCTGATGAGCACTGTGCAAGCGAAGTCTCCATTGAGAAGCTGGAGACCCTTCGACCTGGTAGCAGCAAGGAGGATGATGCGACTTCGTCCTTTGCAAAAGATGTACAGATGGGACTTTCCAAAGACTGCAAGGCATTAACAAGTCCTGGGACACCGCGCATGGTGAAGGCAGAGCCGTACGGTGTATCTGCTGGTCCCTCAGCCAGTAAACTCGCTACTCTGGGTACTCATGACAGGATGCGTTCAGACAAGAAAGTTGCAGCAGCTGTTGCGGCAGCACTGAGGCTGTGCGTACCTGAGATTGCAGGGTCAGGGACCTCGTTCAAGACATCCAGTTCATCCAGTGACTGTTCTGAAGGGCGCTGTGAAGCGAATCTTGGCACAGAGGAGTCTCCACTAGGGAAGGAGGAGAAGAATGCAACCCCAGACCTTGCACTTCATCGTGATATGAAGCTTCTGCATGGAACAGAGGCAAGGAAACAGGGTATTTTCAGTGCTTCCCCTTACAACCTTATCCAGGAGGGGCTCACTAATGATCCCTGGAAGCTCTTGGTCGCATCGATGCTTCTGGAAGATCATCCTTTTCACATGGTATGGTCTCGATTTGCCAACCCAGTTTGGTCAATGTCATGGCATGGCAACTAACACACACCACGGTATTTTATGGCAGGTGCGGCTTGGAGTGAGGAGGCTGTTTCAAAATCTTCCCTCAGCCGATGACGTCTTATCTTCTGACATGCGAACACTGGAGCAATTCGTGTGCAGTGCAGGATTTCATGAAAGATGGGCCAAGAACTTGCTTACCTTCACCCGAGAATTCTCATCAGGAAACTGGGCTCAGATAACTGACCTCCCAGGAGTTGGCAGGTACGGTACCATATGTGGTTGCCTTTCCTATTTTTGATTTGACCGTTTTTGTCAAGGTGTTTGACACTGCCCTTCTCATCAGATATGTTGCAGATGCCTATGCGATCTTCATTGAGGGTCGACTCCAGTCAGTACATCCAACAGACAGTCTCCTCGTGAAGTATCAGAGGTGGGCCCTGAGCCGTAAATAGTGTACATTAAAACCTGTTTATTTGCTGTAATTAGCCCAGCGAGTCTTGGTTGCATCGTGCCTGTGAATATTGTAAATTTTGTACATATATCATTATTGTATGCCGTTTCCTTTCAAATCAGTATTGATCCTCCAGTAAGCATCGACGCAGGAGCCATGCTTTGAAATGTGGCTGACAAGAAGAAACTTTCACGGGGAGATTAAGTGCGACATCGGAAGAGAAATATTGCGAAGGTTGTTCCACTATAGGTAAGAATAAACACAGAAAAAACCCGTACTCAATTTAAATACATCTAGTCGGAGTAGATGCGGCACTCGTCGGCATCAGGGTTCTCGTCGCAGTACTGCTCAAGGGGGTCGGAAGACTTCTGGGCCTCCTTGTGCGAAATAGCGGCAGAGATCTCCTCAACCTCGTCCCAAGCCACAGCACACTCCGCAGCTCCCGCGTTGGGGTCTGCGCAGACGTTCTTGGCCTCCTGAATCTTCTCCTCAATAACCTTGTCCAGTTCCGGTTGCGAGCTAGCGAACACCTTCAACGAGCGGGCAGGAGAAGCGCGCACGGTCACGGCGCTCTTCACGGACTGGGAGAAGGCAGTTGACCGCCTCAGACCGCAAGGGGCGGTGGGGGCAATAACGAAGGCGAGGGAGGCCATGGTTGGGTAACTAGCAAAGTAAGGACAAGGGAGAAAGGTCTGAAGCTGTGAGTGAAAGACCGCACAAACCGATGATGAAATGTGATGAGGTCAATGGGCAGGGGGTGGTGCAAGGCGGGGGTATTGGCGAAGGAGTGGTGGAAGAGTCGGCGATGGATGACGGGCCACAATGGCGGGATAGTGAACGAGGATCTGGGGACGTGGAGAGGTTCAGGGCAGATGGGCTATGACGTGGAATACATTTGCCACATAGACCACCCGGGCAGGAAAGCTGACATGGCGAGCCCACCACCTGACATATAATATCAGAGTTGAGCTCTTCCTGCCATTCGAGTGATATTACCCTAGGCAGTTTGGTGTCAGGTTTGCACCCAATAACACTCGGGCACGCTTTCGTCTACACCCTACAACGTGGAGGCTTGATCCAAGAGCATTCTTATCGGAAAATGTTGAGTGTACGCCAATATTGCGTCTTGATAAAATTCCTGCTCAAATAACACAAGATTCAGAAATATAAATATTAGACGACAGCACAAGCAATTACAATGTGCCCTCGCTGATTGCACGGTTTGTTTTTCCAATACTGCATCGGTGCAACTGCTGGTAAGGGGTCAGTTTGCAGAGGGTTTGTTTTCCTCGTCACAATGACGCCAACAGCAGCAATTCCTTTTCAGAATCAGCTTATCCGAATCCGGCGTTCCTTCTCTCACAGCATCCACACCTTCACTGACCACCTCCTGTCAATCGAATTCATCGACGCGAGTTTGTAACCCGTTGAGCCTGCGTTGACCTTCGCTGCTTCGGTCTCGTGTTCGCAATCTCATGTTTCAGGGCGTGCATGCGTGTTTCATAGAGGGCGGAGTGCACAAGGCGCGGATCCAGGTGACAGAGCTGTTGCACGCTTGGACCGTTGGCATTTTCCGAATTTTAACCATATGTTCACAAACCTAATTCGCTTGACTCGTTTACCTAAAAGAAACTCTGGTAGGGAGATGAAACGGAGTGCGCAGTGTTCCTTATCTAAGATTCAGAATCAGACTATCGATTCAGTTTGTTTACGCTTGCACGGAGCCAGACCGTATTTGAATTTTCTCATAGCATGAGAACTTCAGCAACGACAACATATAAGAGAAACCCCTCCCTCTCTTTTCCCCTCCCCCCCACCCCCTCCCCCCCTCCCTCTCCATTCTCCACCCGTCATTTCCGTCTCTCCCCTCTCCTCCCCTGCCGCGGCACCCCTCGGCTAGGTGTGGAAGCGGAAGCTTGTGCAGTTAGGGGGGGGAGTCGCAGCAGGCCCCACGGAGCCACGTGTCACGCACGTGCTGGCTGCTGATTGGCGGAAAGTGCAGCAAGCCACCGCGTGGCAAACCCCACCACCAGGGGTGAGTGAGTGGACTTCTATCCAGCGTTCTGGATTTAGTCCGAGCTGATTTCAAGGTGTTACTTTGGGTATGAGTGGAATGTGGGTGACTGTACAACAAGCTATAGCACTGGGGTTGAGTGGAGGTTGAATGGCCCGTTGTCTTTATAACTCTGGCTGATTGTGAGTGGGGGACTCGCTCTTGTTCATTGTCCCTCAGAACAAACTGCTGATTCACCCTGTTTTTGCCGTTCGTTTCTCTTATGTTCGCTGCTCCCTCCGCCTGACACTGCCAGGTGACAGTGGCGGAGTTTGCGTGGGTAGAGAGCTGTCTCAAGCAGGGGTCGCCCGTTTTTTTCTCCGAGTCAACTCAAAAGCCCCCATTCTCCTGTTTCCCCGTGCATGTGTTGCTTCCGCAACATGCCACCGCCAGGTGACAGTGGTGCAGTTTGCATGGACAGAGAGCTGTCTCAAGAACGGGTTTCGCCTTCTTCTCTTCAGTAACTCTGAATATTAATTCCGTCGTGTGTCCTCTGCACCGAAACATGCCACCAGCAGGTGACAGTGGTGGAGTTTGCGTGGATAGAGAGCAGTCTCAAGCACGGCTCTCGCCTTCCCGAAGCCAAGTTCTTGCTCCGCGCCTCACACAACGCCTCACACGGCCCGCAGTCACACCAAGGTGCAGCAGCATGCGTTGGGGGATTCAGCCCCTCCAATGCTGATATTCCTGCTGGCAGGGAGAGCAAGGGGTTTTCTGAGCGAATCAGGAATGGGAACGTGGAAGTTAGAGGTGACAGTGCAGAGAGAGATGGGGGAGGTGGGGGGAGTGGTGAGGGGCAGAAGGAACAGAGGGACGAGGAAAGGAATGGGGGAGGTTCCGGATTGACTTTGGCTCGACAGTTGCCGGAGGGGAGGAGGATAGGAGGGAAGGAGGAGGGGAAGGGGGATGGGAGTGATGAAGAGGAGGAGGAGGAGGAAGGAAATGGGGTGGCGGCAGGTCGTGCTGCCGTCGAAGGTGGGCTGCAGGATTCGGAGCTTTCTGAGGAGGAGAAGGCGTTTTGGATGGAGGTGATATTTGAGAGTGCAGCCTGGGCGGCAGTTGCGGAGGAGGAGGGGGATGGGCGCAAGGGAGGGAGTGGGGGAGGGTATGGGGTGAAGCGGGGATGGGGGGGAGGAGGCAGAGGGGGTGGGAGATGGAGAGGGGGAGGGGGGAAGCGGAGGTATGTGAGTGGTACAGACAGGTTTGGGGCGGAATGGAAACGGTGGAAGGCGGGGGGAAAGGGGGAGAAAGGGGGGAAGGGGGAAACAGTGGGCAAAGGCGGAAGGGGGGATGAAGAAATTAATGGTGTGGGGGGCATGGGCTTGTCTGGGCGGGTGATACGGTTGGTGAGGGAAGGGGAGGAGGTTCTGGGACACACGCAGGGGCTGTGTGTGGCTGGTGGGGAGAGAGAGGGTGCGAGGGAGAGGGAGAATGAGGAAGAAAGAGGGCGTGGGGAAGTGGTGCAGAGGGGGAGGGAGACCGGGAGGGAAGGGGGGACAGGTGAAAGTGCAGAGGGTGACAGCCATCAGCGCGAATATGGGGACTTGCAGGGATTCCCGTGCAGCTATGACAGTGCAGGCTCGCAGGGGCAACGAGATGCGTTGCAGACTGAGCTGATTGAGCCGTCTGGGGACTCACAAACGCAGAAGGGCTCACAACAGGTCTCGCAAAATGACTCACAACAGGACTCACAAAGAGACTCACAGCAAGCCTCACAAACGTGTCAGGACTCACAGCATGAATTACAACATGCCTGGCACCAGGCCTCATGCCATGCCTCGCATCAAGAGTCGCGAGTCTCAGGGGTCACTTCAGTCCCAGGGAATCAAAGGGCATTGGGGTGGGAGCGATTGCGAGGGCGCGGGTGTTTCTGCCGGGGGCTGTACCTTCCGCCTGACATGAATAAAGAGATTTGCCGGCAAATGAACGAGCTCAAGAACATCTACAAGGATGGTACGTTGCGGTGCAAAGAGGTGTGGTGTGGTGCAAGGGGTGTGGTGTGCGGTGGGATGGGTATGGCGTAGTGTGTTTCTGCCGGGGGCTGTACCTGCCGCCTGACCTGAATAGTGAGATTTGCCGGCAGATGAACGAGCTGAAAAACATCTACAAGGATGGTACGGCGCGGTGGAAAGAAATTTGGTGTTGCAAAAAGGTGTGGTGTGCGGTGGAATGGGTATGGCAGGGTGTGTTCTGCCGGGGGCTGTACCTTCCGCCTGACCTGAATAGAGAGATCTGCCGCCAGATGAACGAGCTCAAGGACATTTACAAGGACGGTACGGTGCGGTGCAAAGAGGTGTGGTGTGCGGTGGGATAGGTATGGCGGGATGTGCTTCTGCTGGAGGCTGGGCCTGCCACCTGACCTGAATAGGGGCATCCTCCAGCAGATAAAAGAGCTCAAGAACATCTACAAGGATGGTACAGAGTGGTGCAGTGCGGTGCAAATGGGTGTGGTGTGTGGTGGGACTGGTATGGTGGGGTGCTTCCGCTGGGGGATGTTTCTACAGTGGCTCGGTGGCTCTATTCCCCTTTTCCATGCTGAAGGCGCTGCCCTTCAATCCACCTTTGTAACAATCCCCTCATTTCCACCCCCCCCAAGGTCTGGGAGACGAGTGGCGGTGGTTCAGCTACTACAAGGCGCTCAGCGGGCTCGAGAAGCTGCCTTTTCGTCCACTCCCCTCACCATTCTTCCTCTGCTCCCCTTTCCTTCCCTGATCTCTCTCCTCCCGTCACCTCCCAGGTCTGGGAGACGAGTGGCGATGGTTCAGCTACTACAAGGCCCTCAGTGTGCTTGAGAAGCTTCCTTTCCGCATCGGCTCTGCTCAGCAGGTGCAGGGGCTTCCCAGCATAGGGTCGTCACTGCAGGGCAAGGTGAGACGGAAGGCTGGAGAAAAACGTTGGGGTGATCTTTTAGCTCACAATTTTGAAGATGGGAGAGGAAGGAGATGATTATGTTGGAGTCATGCTTGTTTGGCGTTAGTTTTCCTTGCATTTGCTTTAAATGTCACACGTTTGCTACCCATCGTTTGTGCATGTGCATGTGTGCATGGTTCTGCCCTCGTGTATGCATGGTGATATTCACATGCAGATTCAGGAAATACTGTCATACGGCATGATTAAGAAGCTACGGGCTTACCAAGCAGACGAAATGGTGAGGTGAATGTATGAAACGAAATTATTGGGAGAGGAGGGGGGGAGTGAGTGAGACATGCAGGCAGTATACTTGCTCCCTGCCTGTCCCCCCCAGGGAGAGGAACGCCTGCCCTCACTGCTGCCACTGCGACCCACAGGCCCTCGTCCCCACATGCTCACGCTGCGGACACCTATGAAAGACTGCCACGTATACTCTTCTGGGCACTGCGCGCTGCATCACCTCTCACGCATTCCCTCTCCGTACCTTCCGTTCGTTCTCTATATTCTCTTTCCCCCTCCCCCTCAGGTCCCGCACGCTCTCTCTATTTTGCACGGTGTGGGGAATCGGCCCTCGCACCGCCCGCCGCTTCTACTCCACGGGCCACCGCTTGCTGCGCCAGCTCCCATTTCTGATGCCATTCACGCCCTTCCTTATCTTTTCCCCATTGCCTTCCTCCCTCACAGGTCCGCACACTTGCTCCTTTCGGCACAGTTTTCCGCACCGTCCGCCGATTCTACTCCGCCGACCACCGGCTAACCCTCGCTGCGCCAGCTCCCATTCCTTCGCTTTGCGCCATGCTCCGTCTGTTGCAGGTCCGCACACTGGCTCTTTTCGGCACTGTATGGGGCGTCGGTCCCCGCACTGCGCGCCGATTCTACTCCGCCGGCCACCGCTCGCTGCGCCAGCTGGCGGGCGACCCGGGGCTCACGCCAACTCAGCGAATCGCGCTGCGGTTCCACAACGATATGAACAAGCGAATCCCGAGGGATGAGGTGGCGGCGATGGCAGCGCTGGTGGTGCAGGAGGGAGAGGCGCTGCAGCCAGGGGTGCGTGGTGCTTGGGGAGTGGGTGCTGGATGGGGTGGGTGGTGCTGCTTGGGGGGTGGGTTGTGCTTGCGATGGGTTATGCTTGCGATTGGTTGTGCTGCGGTTCCACGAGGATATGAACAAGCGCATCCCGAGGGACGAGGTGGCGGCGATGGCAGCTCTGGTGGTGCAGGAGGGAGAGGCACCGCAACCAGGGGTGAGTGAGTGCTGGTTGGGGCAAGTTTTGCTCCTGTTTATGCCTCTCACTCACACCCCCTCATTCCACGAGGATATGAACAAGAAAGAGACGCTGCAGCCAGGGGTGAGTGGTGCTTGGGGAGTGGGTGCTGGTTTGGGTGGGACCATGGGTGGTGCTGCTTGGGGGGTGGGTTGTGCTTGGGGTGGGTTAGGCTTGAAGTGGGTTGCACTGTGGTTCCACGAGGATATGAACAAGCGAATCCCGAGGGATAAGGTGGCGGCGATGGCAGCTCTGGTGGTGCAGGAGGGGGAGGCGCTGCAACCAGGGGTGAGTGCTGCCGGGGGTGAGTGCTTCCGGGGGTGAGTGCTGCCGGGGGTGAGTGCTTCCGGGGGTGAGTGCTGCCGGGGGTGAGTGCTTCCGGGGGTGAGTGCTTCCGGGGGTGAGTGCTGCCGGGGGTGAGCGCTTCCGGGGGTGAGTGCTGCCGGGGGTGAGTGCTGCCGGGGGTGAGTGCTGCCGGGGGTGAGTGCTGCCGGGGGTGAGTGCTGCCGGGGGTGAGTGCTGCCGGGGGTGAGTGCTGCCGGGGGTGAGTGCTGCCGGGGGTGAGTGCTACTTGTGGCTAGTCTTGTTTTTGCATGCCGCTCATACCGCTCATACCCCGCATGTGTGCAGGTCTCCATTGTGTGTGGCGGGTCGTATCGACGGGGCAAGGCCACATCAGGCGACATGGACTTCATTATCACACACCCTGATGGTGCCAGGTGTGTTGAGTGGTAGAGGCGTGCATATGTGTCTGTCGTTTTCTGCATGGTGTGTTGCTGCCGTGGAAAGGCAACATCAGGCAACATGGGCTTCATTATCGCACACCCCGATGGTGCCAGGTGTGTGTGGGGAGAGGGTGTGGTGTGTGTGTGGGGAGAGGGTGTGGTGTGTGTGTGGGGAGAGGGTGTGGTGTGTGTGTGGGGGGGGTGTGGTGTGTGGTGGGGCGGTTTGTGGTGGGGAAGATGTCTGATTGTGTGTGTGCTGGGATGGGAACTGTTAGGGGAGGCCACTTCAGGCGACATGGACTTCATTATCACACACCCCGATGGTGCCGGGCGTGTGTGGGGAGGTGGTGTGGTGTGTGCTGGGGTGTGGTGTGTGCTGGGGTGTGGTGTGTGCTGGGGTGTGGTGTGTGCTGGGGTGTGGTTTCTGACAAAGGTTGCTGCCGTGGAAAGGCCACATCAGGCGACATGGACTTCGTTATCACGCAGCATGATGGTGCCAGGTGTGTGGGTGTGTCTGTGCTGGTAGTGGCGTGCGTGTGTGTGGGGGGAGGGGGTGGTGTGTGCTGGGGGCGTGCATGTGCCCATCGTTTCTGAAAGAGAGTGTTACCGGGTCAAGGCAACATCAGGCGACATGGATTTCATTATCACGCACCCGGATGGTGCCAGGTGTGTATGCGCGGGTAGTGGTGTGTGTGAGGGGTGGGGGCGTGCATATGTCCATTGTTTTTGACAAAGGGTGTTGCCGGGGCAAGGCGACATCAGGCGACATGGACTTCATTATCACACACCCTGATGGTGCCAGGTGTGTGAGGGCTGCAGGGGGGTGTGTGCTGTAAGGAGATTCATCCCCTAAGGGCGAGCAGATTTCATTGTATCTTGCAAAATGAACTTCCGTGGCAAGGCGACATCAGGCGACATGGACTTCATTATCACGTAACCTGATGGCGCCAGATTTGTGTGTGCGGGTAGGAATGTGTGTGCGCTGCGCGTGTACTCGTAGGGGTGTGCGTCTCTGTGTGTGTTCAGGAAGAAGCGTGTGTGTGTGTGTGTGTGTGTGTGTGTGTGTGTGTGCGCGCGCGCATCTCCCCCTCGAAATGCTTTTATTCCTTCCCACAAGCTCCGAATTCTCCCCTCTCATTTCCCTCTCTCCGCAGCCATCGGGGCTTTCTGGAGAGGCTGGTATCCCAACTGAAGCTCGTGGGTTTCCTAACAGAGGATTTGATGGTCGGCACGCACCACTCGCAGCAGGTGACATACGGCATTCTCTCTGTGCTAAGATATGCATGGTTGAGGTCTATGGTGCTCGCGAGGATGTGGCTATGGACAGGCACGTGTGTCGGCTGAAGCATGTGGGCCTTGTAACAAAGACCTGGTGGTGGGCACACACCACCCGCAGCAACTGAGCCTTCATCAATGCATGGGGGCCTTTGAGGGCGCGAGAAGGACGTTAGTCAGGGGCGGCTGGTGTGTCGACTGACGCATGTGGGCCTTGTAGCAAAGACCGGTTGTGGGCACTCACCACTCGCAGCAGGTGATGCGCACTCAACGCCCAGGTGCATGTGAGGGTGGGCGGGCGGGTTGGCTGAGGCACGTGGGGTTGGTGGAAGGAGATGACGCCTGTCACACACCTGGAGTTGGTGGAAGAAGATGACGCCTGTCACACACCTGGGGTTGGTGGAAGAAGATGACGCCTGTCACACACCTGGGGTTGCTGGGCGCCAGGCACCGAACCCAGCAGGTGATGCGATGCGCTCTCAACGCCCAGGTGCATGTGAGGGTGGGCGGTGCACTGCAGGAGGCACCTGGACGTTCAGTGCCACGCCTAGGTGGGCGGTGCACTGCAGGAGGCACCTGGACGTTCAGTGCCACGCCTAGGTGGGCGGTGCACTGCAGGAGGCACCTGGACGTTCAGTGCCACGCCTAGGTGGGCGGTGCACTGCAGGAGGCACCTGGACGTTCAGTGCCACGCCTAGGTGGGCGGTGCACTGCAGGAGGCACCTGGACGTTCAGTGCCACGCCTAGGTGGGCGGTGCACTGCAGGAGGCAGGTCGGCGAGGCACGTGATGGGGTCGGTGGTGGGCACTCACCACTCGCAGCAGGTGATGCGCTCTCAGCGCTTAGGTGCATGTGAGGGTGGGCAGTGCAGAAGGCTGGTCGGCGAGGCACGTGATGGGGCACATGAGGAGGCACGTGACCAACACAAGACCTGGTGGTGGGCACGCACCACTAGCAGCAGGTGACGCGCTCTCACTAATCAAGCATGAGAGGTGTAGGGTGCATGTGAGGTTGGGCGTTGGAGATAAATCGGCCACTGGTATCACTACCCCCTGTTTTTTTCCCTGTTTGCTCCCCACCGTTTCCCATCTCCCTGCAGCCGCATGGTGAGGGAAAGGGCGTGGACACTTACTTTGGGCTGTGCAAGCAGACAGGCAGGGAGCAACGGCACCGCATTGACTTTAAGGTAGTAGGTGCTGCTACTGGCTGCTGGCTTGTCGATGGGACAGTAATCTACCTTGCCTCATACCATGTGGATTTGGGTGTACCCATGGAATGCTTATGTTTCTACGTATGTTATATGTTATATGTTTTTATTCACTTGCAGGTGTACCCATGGGAGCAGTACCCGTTTGGCCTCATACAGTGGACGGGCAACGATGTTCTCAATCGACGGTGAGGATCGTAGGATGGACGGTGGGGGGCTGGTAATGGACGGCTAAGATGTTGAGACGGCAGCAATAGGCAGCAAAGAGGGTGGAGAGATTGGAATGGATGGCCAGGATTGCAAGTTGCTTGCCATGGGCGGGTATGGCTGCGCGATACCCAGGCATCTCCAGGTATGGCAGTTACTAGGTTGAATCAGATCAATCGTTACAGAACAAGAAAATCACAAACGCAGGTTAAGAGTAAGAGCTGCATTTGTGATTTTCTTGTTCTGCATGCATGCAGAGGACGTGGCTCAACACATTTTGACATCCATTCCCACGTCCATTCTGACTCTCCCACTACCCGTGCACCGTGCCCCCCGTGCCCCCCACCCACCCAGCATGCGGCTGTTTGCAGAGGCCAAGGGGTACCGACTGGACGATCATGGGCTCGTACTGCGCGACTGTGAGCTGCTCATCCATGGCCTTGCCTCTCCCCTTCCGCATGTGTCCCTCAATCACCCATGCATGCACCCCGCCCACCCATGCATGTACCACCCAGCATGCGGCTGTTTGCAGAGGCCAAGGGGTACCGACTGGACGACCATGGGCTCGTGCTGCGCGACTTTGAGATGCGCATTCATGAGCTTGTCTTTTTTCTTCTCATGCATGCCCCCCAACCATGCATGCCCCCCACCCATGCATGCCCACCAACCACCCAGCATGCGGCTGTTTGCAGAGGCAAAGGGGTACAGGCTGGACGACCATGGGCTCGTGCTGCGCGATGCTGTGAGTTGAGACGGTTGCTGAGGCGCCCAAAGAATGCAATGCAATATGTTGTGCCGTCCATCCCGTGCATGGAACTACATGCTTCCCGTTCCATGCCTCCCATCCCATATCGTGCTGTCTGCATTATTGCAACCCCACAGTCCTCATGACTCGCATTCCCAACAGGATTGCACACATGCTATCCTTACCCCGTCACCCCCATTGTAATTGTTTCCTTGCTGTTTGCAATTGACATAGTAGGAGACAACTCAATCTGCAGGATTCCCACTGACATGCTGTGCCCACCCCTCACCCTCCAACAGGTACCAGGCACGTCGGCAGGCAAGTCAGTGCCGTGTGGGAGTGAGAGAGCGGTGTTTGACTTACTGGGATTGCCGTGGCTGGAGCCTCACGAGCGCAACCTCTGACAGCGGCGGCTCAATTAGCCCAAACAGGCCCCAAGTTGACAAGTCATGTGTGCCAGTGGACTGCCGAGGGCAGTTTGACTTTTTGGGATTGCCTCTGACAGCAGAGGTTGAGGAAGTAGTGAAGAAATCTGCGTGCTGCTGCTGCTGGTAGGAATCGCAAACGTGCTGCTGCTGCTGCTACTTCTGCTGCTGGTTGTGGATAGTGCATCTTTATGTGGAAATTCACCGCAAAGATACCGATTTAGCAGCAATTTCACTGCAAACAGAGGCAGGCTTCTTGCAAAGCTGGATTCTAGAGTAGGTATATCTCCAGCAGGTTTAACGCAGTTCCTCCCTTCATGGCAACACACAGAGAGTCTGAAACTTGGCATGTTTTTTTGGAATTGTGCAAATCTGTGCAAAGACTTCAGCAAGAGCTGAGCCTCACATTGCGCTCGCACCTCCCTGCCAATTTCTGACAATTTCTTAACCTTCAAATCATGGTAACAGCAAAATTGTTTGCGAGCCCGTTCTCTAACCCTGATCTTCTCTACACTGTCATTGCATATAATTGGGTGGCAGCACTGGGTGCGACGGGCTTTTATACAGTGACGGGTGGACGAATGGGATGAGAGCCAGGGTAATGGCATGCTCGTAGTATGTCCGACGTGTAATCTCCCCATTGGTCAGATGCCCCACTGTGCCCCCTCGGGATTTGCTGCCCTCTTGCCTGAACACCTCGTCTGTTGCTTCCCCCAGCTCCATGCCCCCTGCAACATGCCAATAACAAGAATGATAGTAATGGAACATGATGCAGGGGAACAGGTATGATTTCGCAGGAGAGTTAATGCTCGTGAGAAATTCCCCAGAACTCATCAAATCTGCACCATAGCCCTCATTTCACAACAATCCCACACACCCTTCCCACGTGGCACACACCCTTCCCACGTGGCACACACCCTTCCGACGTGGCACACACCCTTCCCACGAGGCAAATACCCTTCCCATGTGGCAGATACCCTTCCCACGTGGCAGACACCCTTCCCACGTGGCAAATACCCTTCCCACGTGGCACACACCCTTCCCACGTGGCACACACCCTTCCCACGTGGCAGATACCCTTCCCACGTGGCAAATACCCTTCCCACGTGGCACAGACCCTTCCCACGTGGCACACACCCTTCCCACGTGGCAGATAACCTTCCCTTGTAGCACACTTTCCCACCATGCAATCCCCCTTCCATACTTTCCCCCTACCCTCCCAGTCCTACCATACATTCCATATTCCCCCCTTCCTCTAAACCTTTCAACCCCATTCCCACCTTCTTCCCCTCCTTAATCCACCTTCCCAGTCATTCTTTTTTTCCCTTCCCCTGCCCCCACGTCCATTCGTTCCCCCCGTCTCCATCCCCCCTCTACCTCCCCCTCACACCTTGCACCAGTTCCGCCAGTGGTGGCGGAAGCATGAACGCGGCCGTCCGCGCTCTCGTCTCCCCCGAAATTGCGCTACCCCCGCCCCGTCTTCCCCCGTTCACTCCCGCAAGCGCCGCGCCTCCTCTCCTCCCCGCCAATCCTTCCCCGCCCCCGCCCCCTGTCGCTTCCCCCACTCCCCTCCCCTGTTGCTGTCTCCCGTTCCCCGCCCCGGGAGCTGCGCCTCCGCCCTCCCCGCTTCCGCCCACCACCGCGCCATCCTCTTCCGTCTCGTCTTCCGCGCGCGCGGACGTGGAGAGTACGACAGCCCATGCGAAGCACATGAGCTGCGGGGGATCGGAGAACCGGCACCACTCCACTCCCCCCTCGATCGCAACCACGAAATCCGCGCCTTCCGCCGCGCTGCTGCGCGCCACGTGCAGCAGGCGGTTCCGCGCGCCCGCGAGAGTCTCCGCGTCGCCCATCGGCTGGTCCGACACGCCCGAGTCGGCCGGAAAGCCTTCTAATTCGAACGACTCGTGGGGAAACAATCGCCGGAGCGCCTCCCCCGCGGCGTTAATTCACGGGGTTTCTAGAAGCTACGACCACGCGCCGCCTACTATTCCACGCGCCGTCGGAGCTATTCTCCCCGCACGTCGCGATCTCCGCACGCCCGTCCCCCCGGCATGCTTGCGCCTGCGCGCGGTTCCTTCCGCCCGGGGAGTGGTGCGGCTGCAGCGACACGCGCGCGGAGGATTGGTGATGCGCCGCGACGCGGGACGGGAATATGGCGTCGTAGGTCATAAAGTGGGAGCGCGTGGGGTGACTGCTGGTTCTGAAACGTGTCAAAACTGGATCGGCGTGACTGTGACTACTACGGGCTCGCTGCGGCGGTGGCGGCGGGTCAATCAGGGTTGTGTCGTCAGAGTCGATTCGTTAGTGGCACAACAGCGGGAAATTCCATGCGATGAATCAAGCCGTCAACCCAGACACGTCCGGTGAGAAAAGGGGAAAACAATCAATTACTCACAGCTAAAAATACGCCACCGCTGTTCGCGCTTCAGAAATAGCTTGCGGCTGGGTGTGTGCGACAAAACCAAGCTGGTCAACTTACGGGTGGGTATGTGCGACGGAGGATCTCTGTAAGTTGGTTGGGGGCGATGAAAGCACAATGCGTCGCAGATTGACAGAGAGTCGTCGCAGCATGGGGTGCGACGCAAGCGGAGGTGTCGCACAATGACGTGCTGGGCGGTTTTGGCGCAAAGCCCCATGCCAGAGGTGATGCGAAAACGTGGTGTGAAAAAGTTTCGCTACAGTAAACAGCAATTGACACTGAAGTTACATCACATCTAATACAAAAGAAAGGAGCTGGCTGATTGAATTTCACATTTTGATTTGTAAGTCATCAAGCAGAGATATACATAGCAGTTCACAATTTTAGAGCACAATCCACTCATGATGCTCTTCTCTGCATAGCCTGCAAGATCTCCTGCAAGTCGTCGTCATCATCATCATCTGACATGACACTCTCTTCCGCAACCTTGTCCCTCCCTCTTCCCATACCCACCACCCCTCTCCCTTTACTCACCCCACATTTCACATCTTGAACCTGAGCATCATCACCAAACAAATCTCCTTCCTCCATCCCCACTCCGGTTCCCACTCCTACCCCCTCATCCTCCTCATCATCATCCGAATCACCATCTTCTACCACTAAAGCTGTCACTGTTGACGCTCCTGCTGCTATTGCCACAGGAACGGCCAATGCTGCCGATGAAACCGGCACAGCTGCCTTTGCTGCCCCTCCTCCATCAAACCTGCTATGTCCCACACTCCCCCTCCCTGCACCCCCCCCTCCTCCGCCTCCTGGTTGTCTCGAATAACTTTCCACGCTTCGTGTTCTGGATAGCTTCTGCTCTTGCGCTTTAATGTGCGCCACTGCTGCAATTGCCACACCACCAGGAGAAATAGCACTACCAGCAGCACCTGCACCAGCGGCAGCAGCGACGGAAGAGCCACAGCCGCTGAAGGTTCTGCCAAGCCGTTTGGGGGGTTCGGATACATTCTCTGAGGGGCCAAATAGGTCCTCATCCACTGCTGCCCCACCTGCGGCAGCAACACTAACCCCACCACTACTACTACCAACACCAACTGCAGCTCCAGCGGGAGCAGCAGCAGCAACAGCAGCATCATCATCGTCGTCATCAGAATCGTCTGAATTGCCATTATCAACCCCGAACAAATCCTCGTCCACTGCTCCGCCCTCCCCTCCCATTGATCCAAACAAATCCGCATCAACCCCCATGCCTTCCCCTCCCCCCACCGCACCCGCCTCCTTGCAGCTCCCCCCTCTCCGCCCCTCCTCCAATCCCCGTTTGCCCACAGGCAGCGGGGGGCTGCCCCCACTCGCGTCCCTCCCCCCGCCCACACCATGCATGCCCTTTTCC